AAATTTATGCTTTTGGATGACAGCAATATTTTACTTAGCAAGAAAAATTGATTTTATAGAGAATAAGTAGCAGAATTATAAATCTACATTAGGAATTGAATTGGGGATCATTCTTAGAATTGGTGAGAATTCTTTTATCATTACTCGTTATAATGTAATTAAAGTGTTCCATGTGTTTTCTTGAAATAGTCCAGTAGTTTGAACTTTTTTTGTTGGTTATGGGGCTTGAAGTCAGGGCCTGGGTGCTGTTCCTAAGCTGTTTTTGCTTAAGACTAACACTCTACTACTTAGCCACAGCTCCACTTCCAAGTTTTTAGTTAATTGGAGATTAGAGTCTCATGAGGCTGGCTTCAAACTGGGCTCCTCAGATCTCAGCCTCCTGAGTAGCTAGTATTACAGGTGTGAGCCCCTGGGGCCAGGCTGAACTTTTTTTCAAGTAGTGTACTTCTAGGATGTTGATTCTTTTCTTCTATGACCTGTATGTGAGGCATATGCTAAATTTTGGACAAGTAAAACTCACATAAATGATTAAATGTTTAATATATGATATTAGAGGTACGGTGCTCTTAGTTTTAGCATACTCATGCTCAGTCAAGCATATTATTTGTAATGCGTTTTTGCTCAACTGATGATGTTGGCTTAATGGATGTTGTTACTGGAACCCATTGTGCTTTAAGACAGAAAGACAGAATTTTAACTCACAGAAACACATGACTATTCATTGACAGTACTCTAGTCATTGTGACCTGGGTTTAGGGAACATGAGTTCTGTTGCTGAATATTTGTTGTGACACAAGTATTCTTTTTTCTTTTTTTGCCTTGGCACTGTCCCTGAGCCTCTTTGTGCTCAAGGCTAGCACTATACCATGAGCCACAGTGCCACTTTTGCTTTTTCTGTTTATGTTGTACTGAGGAACCCAGGGCTTCATGCATGCTAGGCAAGCACTCTACCACTATATGTGGCACAAGTATTCTTATAACATGTATTCTTGATATGTGTTTGATTTGTGCCTGTTAAGTGAAAGTATGGACTAAAAATCCAGGGAAATTTGTGCATTTAAGTTTCTGTGTTAAGTAAGTTCAATGAGCCTACTTTCTCCCTAGGGATAGGGAATGAACCTGTTTTAAACCTCTTCAAAAAATACCTCCCCCACTTCTTAGAACATGGCTACTTACGACTTTGAGCCATTTTAGTAGACTGAATCTGCCAAGCTAAGATTCCAATTTCCAAATAAATAAACAAGAATAAATTAGATCATTTATAGTTAAACTGAATATAAGAGCCAAGATATTCATGTATTCTACAAGCAAGCAATATGAATTTGACATTTTGAAGTTATGCCTACACCTGACAGTCAATATCTTTCATCCTCTCTTAGAAAAATATTCAAGGAAGTATTTTTTGTTAACTTAATTCTTGACTGCATATTTTAGGGGATTTATTGGGTATTGTTTATTCCATTCATAATAAAGAAAATGTGAATTATACTGATAAAGGAGAGTTCTTAAAAATTCATTCTTTCAAACTTTGCAATCATATGACTAGACAAAACAAATAAGTTTAAATTTAGATTTTTAGTATTTACTTTTGGTAATTCTTTAAGAAAAACGTAATAGATTATAACAAAATTAATGACAACAAAACTGGACAACTCAGAATATAAAAGAGGTATAATTGTATGCTAAAAATATAAATATTAAGTGTTAAAATATTGGACTTTTTACATTTACATTGTTAGCAGTATTTAGCAATTTTTATTTATTCTGTATCAGCGAAATTGACAGAAAAATTTAGCTACAAAGTCTATAGCACTCATATTATCACAAGAGAGAATAGAGCCATGCTGGTTGTCCAATGGAATTGTCTGACAAATATAGTCATATAGACATTTGTACATAACTGACTTTTATCTATAAATTATCATCTTTTCACATATCCATGTATGGATCTATCATATATCTGTTTATCACTCAATCTTTTCTATCATCAGTTTATCATTTATGTATGTATGTGTCTATTAAAGTCTGTCATCTCTATCATCTATTTATATACTTGTATACGTTTGTAATATCATCTAACTACCAACTATTTGTATACCAGTGCACATATGTTTGTTTGTATGTATGCATTTATTATTTGTTTTATCTGTCACCTATTATTTATTCATATACTCATGTATGTATTTGTAATATATCTGTCTATTGCTCAAACTTTCTATCATCTAACTATCATCTATTTATCTATTTATATACCAGTGTATATATGTATCTGTCAATTTGTCTCTCTCATCTGTTTTTTTGTACACTAATTTATTGTAAAAATACTGTATAGAGGGGTTACAGAGCAAGGTAATGAGTACATCATTTCCTATTGAGCATTGTTGCCTCTTCCGTTTCCCCGCTATCATCCCTTCCCTCTCACATGCACAACTACCCCCCCACCAAAGTTGTAAAGTTCGTTTTCAACATAGTGTCTTGTACATCTCATTGTTACAGTGGGTCAACCTGTATCCCTATTTAAGCATTTTGTTTTTTCCCTTCCCCTCCCCAAATTAGAGAAGTATATGTACAAGATGCAGGACACCAACATCAAATACAGTGAAAACAAGGGTTATACCGTGGGGGAGGAACATACAAAGGAACAAAAACATCAGATGGTACATTATAAATACGTTAGAAACAATAGCAAGAAATAAAAAAATATTTGTGTCCCTATCTTGGGGTTCATTTCACTTAACATTATCTTATATGGTCATATCTCTCATCTGTTTTTTCTAAATCATCTATACACTTGTGTGTATATATCATCTATCATTTATTTATATACCAGTGTATTATGTATGTATGCATGTATGTATGTATCTATCTATCCACCTACCTATATCTCTTACTAGAGCAAATAAATTAGAATCTACCCAAGATGGTTTCCCAGCAAATTTTATAGATGATAAACTGCACAGTGTCATCACTAGATTTTACCAGAAGCATCAACTTTGGGTGGGCTGCATATGAAGACCACTTTTGCTCATAAATATATACTATATATGTACGTCTGGACTTAGGACAAGGTGGTGGAAAGAAGCTTAGCCATCATGTGAGAAATGGGGCACACGCCAGACAAGGTTAAACAAGAACACAATTTTTAAGACATGGGTCAGTTAGTGAAGGATATGGTTAACTAGTTTTTCTTTGTTGTTATAGTGGGATGAATTCTTAGCTTCAAAGACTCATTAAAGTAGCTTCAATTTAAGGAAAAAATATTCTTCTTGAAGGACTAAAATTCCCCTGTGCGTAACATCTCAGTGGTTCTGTTAATTAATTCAAGTAGAAACAGCATTGAAGAAATCACCATACCTTATTACTGGGTATAAGTCATTTTGCTGTTGTACAGATGGCAGAATTTTCTTTTGAATAATAACATTTGTATTAGTCATATTTCAATTGTAATATTATAGCCTTGAGAGGAAAGACAGAGCTATTAAAATACCTGTAGTTTTTAAAACAGTAAATCCAAAAGGAAATAAACACATTTCCTTTTGCAACTTCTTTGTAACTTCTCTATTATCTCAAGTATTCTAGTAAAAATCTAGTATCTCATAATCTTCACTGTTAATCCATATGTTTATTTTAGTGATGTGATCTTTTTGAGAAGTAATTTGTAAGTAGTTTTGGCTGTGGGCAATTTCTTACCCTTGCATAGAATGTATTTGTCAGTCATTTTTAAAAAGGCCATTTCAGTAGTTATTGTAGTATTATAATATTTGCCTTTTATCTTTCTAATATATTTCCAAGGAAAAACAGGAACAGAAACTAAGAAACTGAAATATATGAGTTTGTATACATTTCTTTTGTAAGTTTTCTTATCTCCCATACCTGTCTTCTGTGAAATTTTGTTTTTGTGTAGCCTGCATACCTATAAGCCTAATATACTTGGTCAGCAGTTAGCTGGCTACATAGCTTCTGATGGGCAGACATGCTATACTTAGAAGCTATTGTTGTGACTAGAGATCCAGGACAAGAACAATTTCCTTGATTTAGTTTAGTATATAAAATGTGAAAAAGCCACTTGCTCATTTGTTTTCCTAATATGTTATTTTTACATAGATGATCCGTTTTCTTTGGCCTTTTTATCTTAGGCAGATACTGGAAGCATGATCCTTTCCATGAACATCTTTCCTTTTTCTTCAGATACTTTCTTCGTTATTATATATTAAGTCAAATAATAATACCGGCTCATAAATCGATATGTCCTAAGTTAGAACTTTTAATGTTTTTTTTTTATAGTTTTAGTAATTCTTTTCTTTTCTGCTGATACCAGAGCTTGAACTCAGGACCTGGGTGTTTTCCCTTAGCTTTTTTGCTCAAGGCTGGCATTCTGCCATTTGATCCACAGCTCCACTTCTGGCTTTTTGATGGCTAATTGGAGATAAGTTTGTGGACTTTTCTCAGAGTCTTAAAAAAGCAGTCCTGAGATCTCAGCCTCCTGAGTACCTAGCATTACAGGGTGAGCCACCAGGGCCCAATTTAAAGTTATTTTCCTATCCCTCTATATTACATCTCTATGCCATGCTTTATTGTTAATTAGAAAAAATATAGACCAGAGAAAAATTATAGAAGATGCAGTATAGTTCTGAAGAAGACTCGTTTTAATACTTCAGTTCAGCTAGTGCAATTTTAACTTAGCCCATTAGATGGCAGGATGTAGCTTGGTATGGAGAGCAGAAGGAAGGAAGGGAGAATTAACCCAATTCTCTGTATGTTTCTGTGTGTTGAGAAGGTAGCTCTTCTATGTATGAAGTACATTTGTTGCACATGCTCACTCATTCCAGTGGTTCAGGTTATAAGTAACCTGTATGACACAGGTGTCTCCGTCTGGGATGCAGACACTCAAGATGATAATACGGTTTAACCCTTTACTTCATAGTGTGGAGAAGTAATATGCTAAGTGATAATTCTCTACCTTAATGACATTGCCATTTTTTTCTTTTCTCACTCTCCAGGTGACTTGGATTATTACTGGCTGGATCCTGCCACGTGGCATAGTCGGGAAGCCTCACCTATTAGTTCGGTAAGCTTTCTAGGAAGTGAGTGCAGCCTATGTATGCACTGTCCTTTGCCCCATGCTGATCAATACTAATCATATTCTGCTGCATTATTCATTTTATGAGAACAAATAGCAATTCAATTTGACAGCTTTGAACACAGGAGTAATTATTACTGAATAATTATAGCACATTTTTAATTAAGCACACATCATTGTTGTTTTTTTCCCACAGTGAAATCTTTTCTAATGAAGTCTTTTAGGAAATGCTTTTTTTCTGTTTTTCTCTCATAAATGGAATTTGAAAATATAAATATATAGAAACATATACATAGTCATATGTATATGCACACAAATGTACTGACTAAAGTATGGTCTGTGCAAGGGAAAATTCCAGTTGTGTAGCTTCTTTGCACAGCTTAGTCTAACAGAATGAATACCAGGAATACCAGGGATCTGGGGTGTCAGTGGGAGGAGTGAGGTTAAGGGGAGGGGTGTAGATGAATGAGGAGAAGAATAGTGAGCAAGTGTAGTCATAATTGTAAGTGTACATATGTGAAAATGGAACTAGGAAATTTGAGAGTGGTGGGGTTGGGAGAGGTAGGGGTGAGTGATGGAAGGGATGGCATTTATCAAGATGCATTGTGCTTATGAATTCACATTTTGCATTGGAACCCCTTTGTACAAAGTTAATAAAAAATCATAGTAAAGAAAATGGATTTCTTGAATCGTGACAAAAGGGAAATAAGGATAGAATTATTAACTGTATCAGAAAAGAAATTATATCCTATAATTTGTAATTAATTTAGGGGGCCTTTTGTACTTATGAGCATTCATTAATGCTTAGAGGTAAGTTCCTACCCAGATAGCAGAAATCATTGTTCCATCTAATGATAATTTGTAAGCTTTTTTTTCAGATGTTGTGACATTTTTGCAGATGAAAATTAAAATTAAACTTCAGCTAGCGACTTGGCTCTCAACAAGTTGATAGAGGCCCTGAATTCAAATCACACTACTTCCAAAAAATATAGAAACAAAAAACAAAATCCTGGGCAGGTGTTAATGACCATTCATGCCTAGAATCCTACTGTTCAGGAGTCTGAGGCCTATAGGGTCTTGGGTCAAAACCAGCCTGGGCAGACAAATCTATGACAATCCACTTTTAATTAACTAGTAAAAAGCAGGCCTAGAGATATTGCTCAAATGATATAGTACCACTTGAACCAGAAAGCTGAGCAAGCACAGTTTCTGAATTTAAACCTTGGTCCTAGACAAAATGACAACAATAACAACAAAAGCAGCTCTGTGTACCAGTGGCTTCTACCTGTAATCCTATATACTCAGGAGGCTGCCATCTAAGGACTGTGATTTAAAGCCAGCTTGGGCAGGAAAGTCCTTGAGATGCTTATCTCTAATTAACCACAACAAAGCTGGAAATGGAACTGTGGCTCAGGTGGTTGAGTGTCAACCTTGAGAGAAACAAATGAATGGACAGAGTTTAGGCCCTGAGTTCAAGTCTCAGTACACACACACACACACACACACACACACACACACTCAAGTCTCAGTATACACACACACACACACACACACACACACTCAAGTCTCAGTACACACACACACACACACACACACACACACACACACACACACACACACACACACACACACACACACACACACACACACACACAGTCTAGGTTGGGATTCCCCAGAATTTTCCTGGATAATAAATCTTTATCCCTGGTGCTGAGGAAATATGCTATGTGGGTAGCCAAATACTCTCTTTCTCTTCCCATTTAAAACTCTGTCATAGGCATTTCATGGGCATTGTGGGAAAGAATTTACAACCTCTCAACTTCCTCCAAAAAAAATTCCCATCATTTTATTCTTTATCAGAGAAGTCCCAGAGAAAAGAGAGAGAAGATGCAGTTATTAGGCTGGATTAGGTAGATGGTAGATCACATAGCGCTCGTGTCCTACTGGACCAAACTTTTTTTTTTTTTTTTTTATTATAGTCCTGGGGCTTGAACTCAGGACCTGGGCACTGTCCCTGAGCTTCTTTTGCTCAAGGATAGCACTCTACCACTTGAGCCACAGCGCCACTTCTGTGCATGTGGTACTGAAGAATCAAACCAGGGCTTCATGCCTGCAAGGCAAGCACTGTACCACTGAGTCACATTCCCAGCCCAATGGACCAAATCTTTTGAGGCACTAGAGGAGAAATCTCAGCAACTTTCTTCGTCTTCTCACAGTAACATGAAAGACAATGCTGGAAATTAAAATAGCAGAATTTTGGCCTCCTGTAAAGACAAATGAGGTTGCCCTTCATGCAGCCTGCTCCCCAAAAAACTGTCTGAGTCTATGCTAGCATCAGGTTTGGTGATGGATAAAACCAGCATGGACTTTTCTGGTGAGATTTATAAGAAAATGATGATAGTCTGTTCAAAGTGAAGAGTCATGTGATTTTTCATTTTTCTTGTCTAGTGTTCTTTTGTATTATGAAAAATAATGTATGTCAGTAGGGGCTGATGGCTTATGCTTGTAATCCTAGCTACTCAGGTGGCTGAGATCTTAGAATCATAGTTTAAAGCCAACATAGGTAGGAAAATCTATGAGACTCTTATTTCCATTTAAGCATCAAAAAGCCAGTGGAGGTATGGCACAAGTGGTAGAATGCCTGGTTTAAGTGAGAAAGTTAAGGGACAGCACCCAGGCTCTGCCAGCATACACGTAAAAATATTTTCCTTATTTCCTGTAACATTATTTTCTCTTGTCTCCCCTTCTCCCAGTCTTCTTCTCTAATAGTCCTTCTTCTATTTTCATATTTTCCCTATTTTCTCTTTAGATTGCAAAATATGAGAAAACAAAAAGCTTTATTAAATAATGTCTATTATATATCTAAATGAAATTGAGATGCACAGGTGCTCCTCATTTTATGGTGGGGTAACATTTTGATAAATATATTGCTTACTTAAAATATTGTTGGTTGAATAAACCTAAGTTACAGAATGCAGTTGTTTAGCAGCTCTCCTGTGTCGGGTGTAGGCTTTCTATTTGGTGACCTGGGAGCTGTGATGCCAGCAACCTCACATAGGAGCACAAAACCAAGTTATCACCAACCAAGAGAAAAGATAAAAAAAATAAAAATTCAAAGTGTGGCTTCTACTCAATGTGTAACACTTTTGCACTACTATAAAGGGCAAAAAAATTATAAGATAAACCATTGTGATTTGCAACCCATTTGGCTAAGGATTCCATTGACATGAACAACTCAAACTACAGAACCATTTTTCTTTATGTAAACAGAAATATTTTCAAATGTCAATGAACTTCATTTTTAAACCATTTTTAGACATGTACTTAGGTGACACTTACTTTAGCATAAGTGTCATTTAGCCTAAGTGTCATTCTCAAATAAAATAAACTAAATGAAAAATGTTACAGGCCAATGATTGTGTTCACTGGAATAAAGAATTTCCTATGGAACATTTTTTTTGATGCCTGTACTGAGACTTGAACTCAAGTCCTGAGTACTGGCCCTTAGCTTTTTTATTTAAGGCAAGTGCTCTACCATTTGAGCCACAGCTCCACTTCTGGCTTTTTGATGGTTAGTTGGAAATAAGAGTCTCATGGACTTTCTTGCCTAAGCTAGTTTTGAATTGTGATCCTCGGATCTCAGCCTCCTGAGTAGGTAGGGTTACAGGAGTGAGCCACCAGAACCAGGCTTGATATATTTTTATAAGTATAAATTAAAATTGTACTAATAGGTTTCATTATGATATTTATGTATTGTGTATATCTTAGAGTTATTTATTAAACACATTTTACAAAGGAAGGGTGGGCCATATTTTTTAATTCCAAATGCTCTTAAGGATATCAAGAAAGTTGAAGTCAGCATCATCTGATCAGACTTTTAAATACTAGATGACTATCAAGTATTGTACTAATTAAAAAAAAGATACACCCATGCCTTGATTTCCTACGGAGTATCTTAACAAACAAAACCGTATCGTGCTACAACTAATGATTGTGTGTCTGTAGGAAAGAAAGCAAATTCTTTACTTTTTAAACTTTGTATTTTAATAGCATCCTGTAACGTGGCAACCGTCTAAAGAGGGTGATCGGTTAATTGGACGTGTTATTCTTAACAAAAGAACAACCATGCCCAAAGAATCAGGTGCATTACTGGGACTTAAAGTAAGTATGATGGGGCTGGGAAGGTGGCTCAGTGGTAGAGTGCTTGCCTTGCATGCATGAGGCCCTGGGTTCGATTCCTCAGTACCACATAAGCAGAAAAAGCTGGAAGTGGTGCTGTGGCTCAAGTGTTAGAGCGCTAGCCTTGAGCTGAAGAGCTGAGGGTCAGTGCCTAGGCCCAGAGTTTAGACCCCATGACCACCACCACCACCAACAACAACAAAAAAGTAAGTATGATGGTTTAAAATATTTCCTAATTCTCATACAAAAATGCATTCGCATATATTCTGACAATGACTTTCCAATATCTTCCTCCCTTTTTGAAGTAACATTCTTCTAATGGATATGATGTCCTATGTGAAATATTTTTATTTTTGTATTTTTAAAATTTTTACTATAATTAAGGAGATGTACAGAGGGGTTTCAATTTTAGAAGTTGGACTATGAATACAATGCATCTTGACCAATGTCAAGATATATAGGGAAAATTCAATTTTTTCTAAATATAAAGTTTAAGGGTAATTTTATATTTAAAAGATTTATGTGTGTGTGTGCATGCATATGTGCCAGTCTTGAGGCTTGAATTCAGGCCCTGAGCGCCATCCCTGAGCATTTTGCTCAAGGCTAGTATTCTTATCACTTTAGCCACAGCTCCACTTCTGGCTTTCCTTTTGGTTATAAGAGTCTTAATAACCACGACCCACAGATCTCAGCCTCCTGAGTAGCTAGGATCACGTGTGTGCCACTGATACCTGGCTTATATTTTTCACAATTTTAATGGGAAACAGTAAAGTTGAATATTGCTTACTTTTTATGTGCTGTGCAGCTCATCATAAGACACCAATGAGGAGATTGTTTTTTAATAACAGTTCCACATCAATTTAAAGGGCAAGATGTGTACTGAAGATAATTTGTGTTATATAACACCAGCCTAGAAAGCTTAAGGCCCTGGATTTAAATTCCAGTACCACCAAAAACATAGGAGTGAAATGTATCTTTCAAACTTAATAATTATCTTCTAATAAATATGACACATGATAGATTACAAAAAGGTTGTTATACTTTGTAGAAAAGTATATATACATATTGGGCATATGTGCAATTGTGAAAAGTACATACTTATGCATATATGTATGTATATACTCATAAATTCATCCTTCCATATATATCTTGAGTTATGTATGTGGAATATACATGTTAAATCACCAGGTTTTGATTTCAGTTACTTAAATATTTTATATACTACTCTTACACATTACAAGATTATATTGCAATTGTGTTGCAGTTTGACTTTTTCAAAACCATTGGCCATTAATCAGATAAAAACATAAGTTCAGAGCTAGGGTTGTAATTTAGCAATACAATGCTTTCTGAGTGTGCACTAGGCCCTGGATTTGAAATCCAACACAGAAGAAAAAAAAAGAGTGCAATTCATAAGCTTCATTCTATCTTATTGATTATCCTTATGAAATAATTCTTATTATCTGCATTAATGGGTTCCTAAAAACTGTAGATCAGCCTCAATATTAGTAATATTTCTTCATGTTTAGTTCGGTATGTTTGAGTCAATGCATTGAGAAAAAAATTGACCTCGAGTTTTTCAGATGGTTCAAATTTTAGATGTTATGATTAAATGAAAAGTTCTGTGAACAGCTTTGGCTTTGGGAGGCAAGAACAGGTATATTTCAGTTGAGAAGATCTTAGATGGTCAGTTGTAGACATATAGTTAGGCTATTGCCTTTACACCATGCTGATTACCAGCATGGCTTGTTCTTGCTTGAATCTTCATGACTGTGGAATGCTAATTTCTACTACACACATACAGGAGATCTAACTCGGATAGGATATTGGATCATTGTAGATATTATTTAAAACATTAAGAAAAAACTTCAGCCACATCCTACTGCCTGTCACTAGCTACTCAGGAAGCTGGGATCTGAGGATTGAGGTTTGAAGCCAGCCTAGGCAGGAAAGTCCATGAGACTCTGATCTCCATTTAACTACCCAAAAGCTAGAAGCAGAACTGTAGCTTAAATGTTAGAGCATTAGCCTTGATCAGAAATGCTTGGGGACAGTGCACAGGTCCTGAGTTCAACTTCCAATACTGGCACCAAACCGAAAAGATAATACAATAAATAAAGAACCTAAATTAAATAGTGCCAAACACAAACAATTGTTGTTTGAATAGTAAGGCAGGGTGATTTGGCACACGGTGTTATATATTATTTATCATAACTTTTTATTGTTGTTTATTTTATCCTTCTATTGTTATTCTTTATTTTATTATTATTGGTATTGTTACTCATTGCTTGATAATCTCATATATAATAAAATACCTCTTTTCTATACTGTACTACTAGTTCTTTTAATCAGGAAAGTATTATGCTTCATTGAAGTCCCTATAATTTATTGTAAGGGCATTATAAAATTATCTGGGCATAATTCATCAAAATAAAGTTATATGTCAGTGTGAGTCTTGGGAACTTAGACATTTTTAATTGTCCAGGTTGTTGGAGGAAAAATGACTGACTTGGGACGCCTGGGTGCTTTCATCACCAAAGTCAAGAAGGGTAGCCTTGCGGATGTTGTTGGCCATCTAAGAGCAGGTAAAGTCCTTTCTCATCTTTCAGCAGTGTTCTCTGTTCGTGAGTTAGTGGATTTCAATCTGCCGTTATCTATGTATCAGAGTGAAGTCATTAATTTATTGTCAAGCATGAATTCACGTTCTTCATAGAGTTACCCATTGCACCAACTGATTGCTGTACTAAGTACAGTTTGGAGGCCATAAGAGTAGAAATCTTTCTTTAAAAACCACACTGATAAAAATAATGAAAGATTATTTTTGCAGGTCATTTCATGGTATTGCTACAAACTTCTAATCTAAAACAATTTAACTTTGTGAAAAAAATTACACGTTATGATTTCATTCTTTGGTTTCATTTTTAGCCACAACAGTTACTATAGTCTTGCCTAATTGTTCCAAAACACTTATTTAGGAGTGGAGATTTTCATACAACATGATTGTACTGTTTTATTTTTCTAAACAGATTATGTAACAAAATGTTTGTTCATTTAAATGAGACATATATTGTACGTTTGGAGAATTGCCACTTCTTTGGCATTTGGAAATAGCACAATAGAATTAGGTAATATATCCAAATGTATCATATAAGCAGTGGCAACACAGTTTTAAATTGTTTACTTTTAGTGTCAGTTAAAATCATATTAACTTTTCTTCCCATTTATTTCACTTTAGAGTGTACTAGAAATTTTTGTTCAGAGTATCTACTTATGCATTTGTCAAGCACTTATAAAGAAAACAGGGCTGGCTTAACTGTTACAGCACCTACCTACCAAGGATAAGGCCATGGGTTCAAACCCCAGGACTCACACATACGTGCTCAGAGGTGGTTGAGGTGTAGCATTAAGTATCAATAACCCATAGCATACAGAAAGAGACTATTTCCAGCCCATAATTCCAATCTATATCCTCAAAATTTGTAGTCTTTGAGAACTTAAAAACATTCAAAGACATCTTAAGATATATATGCATATATATGTTTGATTGCTAGTATGGCAGTGCATAATTGATCCACGTGCTTTATTTTGAACAGACTTGTTAAGCAGGCATGGTGTTGGTAGAAAGCCCCAATAAGGGATTTTCCTCCAAGCAGTAGCTAAATAGCTTGGGAGGTGTGCCAAGTATGATGCACTATTGTTTCTGAGAGAGATGAGTTAATGTTTCAAGAAGACTTGGTAAACTAAATCTTTTGTCTAATGACTCAAAGTATAAAAAAGTATAAAAATCTCAAAAGTATAACTAATGTGAGAAAACTTTATCCAAAGAAATCTGGCTGTGTGACAGTGGCTCACAGCTGTAATCCTAGCTACTCAGGAGGCTAAAATCTGAGGATCACGTTTAACGCAGGACCAAGCAGGAAAGTCTGTGAGGCAATTATCATTAGTTAAAAAACAAAAAGTCAAAAGTGGGGGTTTAATTCAAGTGGTAGTGTGCCAACTTTGAGCAAATAAAAGTAAGGGATAGAGCCCAGGACCAAGCCTCATCGTTGGCATCAAAGGGAGGAAAAAGAAAGAAAAATAAAGACAAGAGAGAAAGAGGAAGAAAAGGAGGAAGGAAGTAAAGAAGGAAGGAAGGAAGGAAGGAAGGAAGGAAGGAAGGAAGGAAGGAAGGAAGGAAGGAAGGAAGGAAGGAAGGAAATTTTAGTGGAAGATTATAACTAATTAAAGGGCTTATTCTCTATTAAATATTTCTAAATGGTTGGTTTCATTTATTTTAACTGAGCTTATGACAACCTAAGAAATTTAAACCTGTAATTTTAATAAAGCCTCAAGGAAAAGAAAGTACATATGTGTACTTTTCACTTTAAACAATGAATAGTTTGAAAAAGTAAGGTATTTTGTGCACTATGTATAGTCTCTTTAGTCTATATTGTAATATAGGAAATGGTTGCATGAAAACGCCATTTGTCTATAAAAAGCTACAGTGTTATTTTATCAGCATGAACTTCATTTACCTTTTGCAATCGTGCTTTACTCTTCCTGCAGTCCTGCCCCCCTCAAACCTGTGCACATCCCTGCTGCTTCATTTAACAGTCTAAAATGCAGAATCCACACAGATGAGCTCCTGGTTACTAAGACCATTCAGTGTCTCAAGGTCACTCCTTGATCAAGTCAACACTCTATAGCTTTGTCTCCTAGCATTTTCAGCTCTCTAACTATGTCAGTCTACCTGTAGGTCTCTGGCAAGCTTGACCAGCACCTGTTACAGGCTTCCAGGTTACATTTCTGTTCTGCCTATTGAAGGCCTTTCCATCCTTCAAACCTAATCTTTTTTTTTTTTTTTTTTTTTTTTTTTTTGGGTCAAGTGGTGAGGCCTGAACTGTGGGCCTGGGTGCTGTCCCTCAGCTCTTCAGCTCAAGGCTAGCGCTCTACCACTTGAGCCACAGCGCCACTTCCGGCTTTTTTCTTTTTGCTTATGTGGTGCTGAGGAATTGAACCCAGGGCCTCATGCATGCAAGGCAAGGGCTTTACCACTGAGCTACCTTCCCAGTCCCAAAACCTAATCTTAAGTTGCCCCAGTGCAAAAGTGTTTCCTGAGATGGCACCTGCAGTCGCTACTCCCAACCTGGCATGTCTAGGTTCTACTTCTGTGCCACAAATGAACTTCTCTCATTGCATGAAACAGGTTTTCTTAAAGTTATTTAATCTCATATTACTTCTCCACCACCATATATAAAGACAGAAAAAATACCATTTTCATTGATGTACCCTTTTGTCTAAATCTATGCCTGAAATTTTGTCAGTGTATAAATAAATTTTATTAGACTACTTTCTGGATTACAAGCTATTGATCTGGGGATAAATAAATGCTTCTTAATTTAATTTGACATGAAAAGATATGCTTCCAGATTTCTATGTAGGAGCAGAACTTTACAGTGTAGTACTTACACAAAAACACTGGTTGTAATTCATTGCTAAGTAGTAAAATGAATTTGTTCGCCTTCATAAATTTAAAAATATAATGGAATAGGATATCAGGGTAAGTATTTAAACTTTTCTAGCATATATATGTATGTGCACAAACATGCACATATATATGTATGTATAATGTTATTACATATACTTATTTAAGCTATTTTTTCTTGGTTGGAAAAACTTTAAAAATTAACAGATTGTAAATTTAAGATGATTTTCTTCCTTTATTTCTTTTACCTTCTTTTCTTTTCCTTCTCTTTCCTGAACAATGATGTATATTTATATATTCCTTATTTGAAAACCTTTCCTAAATGTATCTGCTTAAATTATTAGAAGAATTGGTAATAACCCTGTTGTTATTTGGCTAGTGCTGTTTAGTATTGATAACAAGTGAAAGCAGCACACATATTTTCCAATATTTACCTTCTATTTTTCAATGAAGGAACACCTGGAGGAAATTAAGAAGTACTTGAAAGCAACTCCCTTGTAACAATTCCTTTCTATTGTTTTTGTAAATTTGACCTGTTCTAAAACTAAAAGATTCATATTTGAGCCTATATATTTTACATTTTAATGATATTAATTTACTAGTATAACTCCTACTTATTTGTGTCCTACTATGCCAGAAGCTAATAACAACCAACTAGCATGAACCTCAACAAATGAAGATACCTCTAAGTGTCTCTGAGGCTGGGCTATTTCAGCTGAGTCTTCCATTTGCAATTTAAGGGTCCTGAGATGGGAACTCTTTGGGAGCTAAGACTGCTATACATATTCATGAGAATAAATCTGTTTTCAAATGACATACCTTGGAAACTCCAGCTAAAACTACAACTATTAGTTATTATCTCATATATGTTCATGGAACTTCATTCAACACTTTTTGACTAATCTTGGATTAATTCACAAAACTAGTAGCATTTTTTAAATTGTTTTAAGCATTTCCTTGTTCTTTCAAATTCAGTATCTATTATAGAATATCTGTTTTCTGAACATCTGGAAGTGGGTTAACTGTCATGCAACAGTTTTACATCTGCTTGCTTTGTAACTCTGCACTAGCTACCCGTGTTACACTTGGGTGTGACTTCAAATCCTTTCATGCATTTCTATTCAGTTGGGCATCCAGTGAAGACAAATAGAGTGATTCTTAATAGGAAAACTCATGCTAGCAAGCTTTTTGCTGCACTTTACCTAAAGTAAAACAGGACTTCTGCACAGTTGAAGAAGAAGCTTTCATTTATGGTGCTGTGTACTTATGATATGAGGCATGCTGCCAGTTGTTATTTTTAATGTTCCCAAATAGGCTGTGCCAGTTCCATCCCATAGCATGAGATTGATCTATAATAATATTTCTGGTATATCTCAAAATATAAAGGCAGTTTTTATGCTGTTTTCAGTGAGTACTAACATTTGTGGGAGGAAGTAAATATAAAAAGGCAAAACAAAAGAATAAAGGTGTTTAGAAGAAACATTTAGCTGACATTATATAATTTGCTTTTGAGAGCAGAACCTAAAAGATTAACCTAATTGTATCTGTCTTGCATTTCTTTGTTAAGAAAGAGAAAAGATAAGAAAAATAAACAGAATATATAAGGTAAAAAAATACCCTTTTTTTTAAATTCAAGGGGATGAAGTTCTAGAATGGAATGGTAAACCCCTGCCTGGAGCTACAAATGAAGAAGTTTACAACATTATTTTAGAATCAAAATCAGAACCTCAAGTTGAAATTATTGTTTCAAGGCCTATTGGGTAAGGCTAAAAAAACTTGCTTCTTAAGTTTAGTAAATTACATGTATTAGCAGGGTTTTAAGAAAGAAGTTTATACATTCATATAGCACATGATAATGTGGATAGAGTTTTCACATCAATTATTGGCATACATTTTAGATTTCTAAAATAAAAAAATAAACACACTGAATTTCCTTCAATATATTTCTGAAGCTCCACAAATTAACAATTAAGATATCAAAAAAGCATGGATATGTTCTTCTCACAAAGAACTACAAAGTAAAATATTTTCTTTTAGTGGTTGGACTACTTATTGTTTAGCTATTCTAATTTAAGGAATATTATTTCCTTTAAAAGAGTCACTAGTAGGCACATTTTCTTGTTATGATTATAATATGAATGATTTTATATGTCTACATGAACTTGTGTGTTTTTAAATTGTGCTGGTCCTGGGGCTTGAACTTAGGGCCTGAACATTGTCCCTGAGCTTTTTTGCCCAAGACTAGTGTTCTGTCACTTGAGCCACAGTTCTGCTTCCAGCCTTTTGGTAGTTAATTGGATTTTCTTTCCTAGAATGGCATAGAACCACTACCCTCAGATCTCAGCCTCCTGAGTAGCTAGAATTACAGGCAAGAGCCACAAGGCTATTGGACTTATTCTACAAAGACAATTGTTTCTGCATATTTATTAATGAGTGGTTCAAAGTTTTATTTAAAGTAAAGCAAGAAATTTAAATATTTAAATTGGTTGTAATAGTTGGTATGCTCTTTTTACAACCTCAGTATTTATTGTGACTTAATTATTTTCAGCCAGTGGAATGCTTTCCCTATCTGGACTTCTTCATGATTTCCTTATATACAGACACAAAGCCCAAAGTAAACACTCATTTTTCCAAACTATGGTTTTTAGGGGGCTTTGTGCACCAGCTTATTATAGTTGACTTCATGTTTGAACATGGTCTTGGAAATGACTTTTCTCCCAGATATTATACAACCACTAATTCAAGACAGTTTATGTTGAAAATTTTACCTTTTTTGTTTTCTTCATGAATATATGACAATGCAAAGCAAACAAGAAAATAGAAGTATCCTCATTTCAAGAATCAAAAGTATTTAATCATATATCAAAGAACAATATTAGTTTATAAAATTCTAAAAGTAAGGCAAGTTTTAATCACTTTTAAGTGGTGATTAATTAAAGTAACCATTGAAGACATTTGCCAAAATATTGTATATTTACATGAAGATTTTTTAAAGATCATGGTAATTTGTGCTAGTTTTTAGATGACATATGTTCTAGGACTGAGTACAATATAAGACTGGAAAAGAGGTAAGTAAATTGGAAAATGAATCAAAAGTACAAAAATACATCTTAAAATAAAATATGTAGCGTGTTGTCAGATATCAGCTACAATACTAATTTATGGTGACTTAAAAAATCAACAGACAATTAAAGTAGACTGGAAACCCCTTATTTTTATTTTGCATGAAAATCACTTACAGTGTGATCATCTGCATAGACAAATCTTAAACTATGGAATATGGAATTCAGAGGGCACAATTTAAATGAAAATCAAAGCAGACATCACCTTTCTAATTAACACATTAATTATGGTTTTGTTTTAATAGTTTAATATTTATATTTAGTGTACTTCCATTTAGCTATCATTATTAACTTGAAGCAGGAAATAAATATTAAGTCATAATTCACTAAGCATAATAATTTCAGGAATTGTTTTCTTTATATTTTAGCCACACATTGATCAGTATTGAGTCATCTGCTATCTTGACTTTGCCAAACACAGTATTTCTGACCTTTATCATTGTTTTGAAAACTACCACATAATTTGTAGCAAATACGCCTGAGAAATTAACACTAAAAAATTAAATTTTAAGATCCTGCATGGTAGCTCAGTGTATAATTCTAGCAACTCACGAAGTGAGTGTAATTCCAGCTAACATAGGCAAAAAAAGTTTTTGAAGCTTCACTGCAACAGAAATATCTAAGCATGGTCATACTTGTCTGTAAATTTCAGCTTCAGAATGAAATGTAATTAAGTAGACCCCTGTCCAAACTGGCTGGGACAAACACGGATTGGATAGAGGGTTGAGGGTTTTGTATTGAGAGGTGGAATGCCTGCCTGGCAAGTGTCCTGCCCTGAGGTCAAATTCTAGGACTGCCAAAACAATTGTTTCTGATTCAGAATTACCATAACTTTTTCCAACCACTTGTTTACCATCCCTCTTTAAAAGACATAAAATTTAAAATTTTTTCTTCATTAGAGTTCCAAACTCTAATTTTTGTAATTGATCAGCAAGCTGGTTTCCAAAAAAACTCAATGTTGTCTAAAAAATGTGTCTTTAGTTTTTAAAAATAATTTATTTCTATTTGATTTGGTTATTTGAGAAGAAACTGTTAGTGAATACAAAATAAAGATAGTGAGGATCAACGTGATAGTTGATTTCTGATATCTTAAGTACTATTACTCTCTGAATTACAAGTTCATATTAATGGCCTATGCAAATTATTAATTACATAAAAATTAGAATAAAATATGTTATAGAAAAGACAAATCTCAGTGCTGGTGGCTCACACCTGTAATCTTAGCAACTCATGTTGCCAGGGATCTGAAGATTCAGGATCAAAGTCAGCCTGAGCAGGAAAATCTGAGATTCATTTCCAGTTAATCCCCCAAAAGCCAGAAGTGTAGTTGTGGCTCAAGTGGTAAAGTGCCAGCTTTGAGTTAAAAATCCCTCAGTACACACACACACACACACACACACACACACACACACACAAACACACACACACACACACACACAGGATTTTGTTTGTTTAGTGGTTCAGTGGATTACAAGACCTTTCTTTCACTTGAGCCTCAATCCCAGTCCAACACAGAATGTTTCATCATTTGTAAAATTTAAATTATGATTAATCACAACACTAGTTTACACAAAAATGTGAAAATGAAACTTCAGGTAACCATTTAAGTAGAGAAATATTTTTTAAATTTTCATTCTCCTCCAAAATATAAAGAAAAATCACAGTGAATTTAGGTGCAAGGTAAGTTGTTAGAAATTCTTAAAATCATATGCTGCTAAGTGTGTTGGTACACATTACCTCCAGTCTACTTTAATGTGTCCTTTTAATGCTGGCATGTTATAATCAATGCTCAAATATCTTCGGCAAAGGAGAGGGGAAGTAATCTTTTACAGTATGATACCTAAACAGAGAAGGACTAGAGGCCTTAAGGTTGGAGTACCTAATGAATTAAATTGAGGTTATCTTAAATATTTCTCTAGGATAATTTGTGAGTGTGGCAGATACGAATGTTTCTCACAAGTTGCTTTCTAAGCATACAATAAGTAATCATATATTTAGATAACTTCAATTTAGAGATATACATCTCTATAAACAATATATATATGTGCAGAGATATCATACATATTATATATAACAGCATCTACATGATAGATATTATATGTGCATAGATATTATATATTTTCTGTAGACACATATATATGCACATATATAACAGTTTTTGGCTTTTTGTTGCAAGCTTGGACCATCTTTAATTTCCAAAGCAATTCATCTTTTTTGTTTTCTTAACTTTTCCATGATATTCATGACATTATTTTAGTATCAAGATGTTTCCATCCCTTTCATTCAGTAAACTCCTTCAGATGTGTTTATAAAGCATTATTACTAATTTATAAGATATCTGTCATTTTGATTTTCTAGAATGGAAGTTAGAGTATTGCCTTTGACATTTTATTTTTAATTTCCAAAACTTACTGTTTTGGTAGTAAAAATATTGTGGTGAGTCTATCCACAATATTAAATTGATTGCGTCATGATACAGTGTTTTGCTGTGAAATATATAAAAACATATTTTTATGGCAGTTCCTTTTGTGTGTGTGGTTTTGACATGCATGCACATAAGTATCTCCTAAATAGTAACTCTCCTCCATTCTCTACATCTGAAAGACCCCAATGGGTGTTTTTTTTTCTTTTTTCACATCACTGAAGTATGATGAATGGGGTGTGATTTGTTGAAGGCAGGCAAATTTTCCTAACAAGATTTTTACACACCTCTTTCTTTTAGTGACATTCCCAGGATTCCTGAGAGCTCTCATCCTCCACTGGAGTCCAGTAAGTATAGCATTCCTTTGTATTCATAAAATACATTAGAACTAAATTGGAAATAAATACCTGCCATTTCCTTCCATTGGCTGATACAAATTAATTGATATTACTGTGTACTACTGGTGTATTCACTAATTGCAGAATTGAGCCACACACTCATGGCTCACTCCTGTAAACTGTAGCTACTTAAGAAGCTGAGATCTGAGCATCGCACTTTAATGCCAGCCTGGACAGAAATCTGTGCAATTCTTGTTTCCAACCAAGCAGCAAAAAGCAAGAAATGGAGGTGTGGTTCAAGAGGTAGAGGACCGACCAGCCTGTAGCATGAAAGCCAAGTGAGAATGTGATAATATGTAGTTATCACATGTTATCACATCCTAGTACAGCACTGGGAGAGAGCTAGGGAAGGAGTGACATTATCCAAAAAGAAATGTAGTCTTTAACTGACTTGCATAATTGCAGCTTCTCTGTATATCACCTTTCTAATAACAACATAAGAAACATATGTGCTATATATATTATACATAACAGCTATTATAGCATTTTACCTTACCAACTTATTCCCTTGTTTTTTAATTTTTGTTGTTTTTATGATTGAAACATAAAAATCATTAGGCCAACACCTTTCACATTATATCTATGTGGACACACTCTGAGCTGAACTACAATACAAATACTAGTTCTGTTTGCTGTATTTTCTAAGATACTGGATTTTTTTCAGTTCGATAATCCTATGAGCAGCCTAATAGATAAATATATTAGCACATTTTCCCAATTCCACTGCTAGTTAGTGTCAGCTAAGATAAAGAAGACAGTAAGAAGGTAGGTGAAAGGTTCACTGAAGTTAAATGTGTCCAGGATTTGAAAGAAGGGAAGTCAAGGGAGCCAGTCTAATGCATATAAGTACAATTGTTAAAACAATTAAAATCACTCAGGGTTAGATATTAAATAAATGATATGTGTGCAGTAAAATACAGATAAGTAGTGAAATTTTCATTGATACTGAAGAAGTGTCCCAGACACTTGTTTCATTATGGATTGTTGGTAAAATAACACTTAATCTTGATTTTCTAGTTACTTTTCTTGTTTTGGTGCCAGTAGTGAGGAGCCTCACATTCTCCTTTAGCTTTTTCTGCTCAAGGCTGACACTCTACTACTTGAGCCATATCTCAACTTCTGGCTTTTTTGGTTGTTCATTGGAAATAAGAGTTGCCCAGATTTGTCTTCCCAGGCTGGTTTTGACTGTGATATTCAGATCTCAGCCTCCTGAGTAGCTAGGATTACAACTATGAGCCATGAGTACCTGGCTTTGGCATATATTCTATAATATAAAACTAGTGAAAGGTGAGTTAGGGGAAAACAAACCAATGGTAGTGATTAGAGGAAAGAATACACAAGACTAAGGTAAAAAAGGACTGGAGACTAAGTTACCATAGAAAAGGCATTCAAACATTCTTATACCTACTAAAGATGAGCTCTGATTTAAATTTGAGCTACCTAGTGACTGACACAAAGGTGGAAATGGGACTAGTTGTTTATGTGCAGATACTGACAGGATTAAAAGATAAAGTAGACTGGCCCTGGTGGTTTACCCTCAAACCCTCACTAGTCAGGAGGCTGAGATCTCAGGATCTCAGTTAGAAGATAGCCTGGGCAGGGAGGTCTGTGCAGACTCTTATCTCTAGTAAACTACTTAAAAAAAAAAAGCTCAGGGACAATGCCAAGCCCCAGGACCAGCCCAGAAAAATAAATGAGTAAATGAATAAACCAATTATTTTAGTATTAGAAGCAAACTTTACTAGAAACAATATTGTTTTTTTGTGAGATCTGAGGAACAAATTATCCTAAAGATACTTGATAAATTATTTTAAAAAGTTTGTCTTTTTGTTCATTTATCTGTCTTTGGAGGGAGAGTAAGGGGAGGCTCAGAAATGGAGGGACAAAGCGTGAACAAATGCATCAGTGGTACCCACTAGACACTATGTTGAAAATGAACTATACAACTTGTGGGTGGGGACAGAAAGGGAAACTGGAAAAGAGTGAATGTTCTCATCACTTTACTTATGAAATGTTAACCCCTCTGTACAATCACCTTAATAATAACAATACAAACATTTTAAAAAGACACAGTCAAAAAGTGTTTTACAGCATGGAATTTATGTAGTTCAATATCAAGAAAGGAAGAAAGGGGGAAGGAGGAAAGTCAGGAAGGAGAGGAGGAGAGAGAGAGGAAGGGAGATAAATAAGCCATGCATACGTTCAGGAAGGGTCCCTAAATATGTTTCTGAATGGAGCATTAGCTATTTTCTGTTAAGAAGAGCTTTGTGTTCAACATTATGCTTAAGTGTAATTGCATTCTACAGACATTCTATACTTCTGAATGCATCAGGAAATACACTATAATAGTATACTATAATAGTAAAAAGAGTCACGTATTGACTAAAGGAGGAGCCAGCCCCCTCCACATCAAGGTGAAAAAAGGTCACTTGCAGTAAATTAATGAGAAGCATCCTAGAGTAGTTTAAGAGATCTACTTGTAAGATGATAAATTAGATTTAAAAATAATAATGAAATGTGAAGCTAGATATGACTGAAAATTTTCTAGTATGGGCAATTAATTACACTTATGCATTAACCACATAACTAATATTCTAGGCACCCTCTTCTTATTGCCCTGGTTTTGTGTGTGTGTGTGTGTGGTGTGTTTGTGTGTATGTGTGTGTACCTGCACTGGGTCTTGAACTCAGGGCTTGAGCACATTCCTGATGTTTGTTGCTTACAGCTGGTGTTCTACCACTTAAATCACACTTCCACTTCTGGCATTTTAGTGGTTGATATAATGGTGTCATGGACTTTTTTTCCCAGGCTGGCTTTGAACCATGCTTCTCAGATCTCAAGCCTTCTGAGTAACCAGGATGACATATGTGAGCCAACAACACCCAGCTTTCCTGCTCATTAATGTACATCTGTGTGTGGACTTATTCAAGAGCCTAAGCAGAACAGTCCCCTCCAGCCATGTAGATCAATACTTTTAATTTGGAAACAAAGGGAATTCAGCATCTTATTGCGTGATTTAAAATATCTTTAAAAAGAATTTATCTGAAGAAGACAAAATAACCTGCTACACTTATCCATTTAAAATAGATCATGTTGCCCATAGGTTATTGTATAGTAAGAATTAAGGCTTTATGTCTTTATAGTTTTGTAAAATATGATTTTTTTCTCATTGTAGGTTCAAGTTCCTTTGAATCTCAGAAGATGGAAAGGCCTTCTATTTCTGTGATTTCTCCAACAAGTCCTGGAGCTCTAAAAGATGCCCCACAAGTGTTACCAGGGCAACTCTCTGTATGTACTATTTTGTACTTGCTGGAATACATTCATGTTTTCTTACTGAGAGTCTTCTTGAAGCTCACAATTAATACATAATAATTTGGCACCATACTGTTCTTCATGAATTTTCTGTATTTCTTCAGCTACTTGGTTATTCTTATGTTTATATATAAAGATTTATTGAATTGCTATAGTTTACCAAATGCTCTAAAAATATTAACTGATAAGTGATAACTTTTATAGAATATTCACTCTTTTGGGTATGCTATATCAAATTAGGTAATTATTTAGCATGTAGTTGACTTAGGGAATCACGTTCAATTTACTTAACCACCTGATAAGCCGAGAGGCTGAGGACCTTAAATTTCAAATAATCTGTTTAGCTTCCTAAGGTGTTAGTTGCAGAAATAACATATACAGGGTGCCTGCAAGACACTCACTCACCACTGCTTTATTACAAAAAGCTGGAGAAAAGCAATTATCGTTAATTATCATGAAGAACTTTGAATCTGTGTAGATTCAAGTGGGACATGGGAAATGTATTAATAACTAAAAATTGCTTCACATTCTTCTAAAAATAATTGAATTTTTCTTTTGATAATGCATGTTTCTTTTCTTTCCTTTTTTTATTTCTGTCATTTGTAGGGCTTAAACTCAGGGCCTTGGCGCTGTCCCTGAGTTTTTGTGCCCAAGGCTAGCACTCTACTGCTTTGAGTCATAGCGCCACTTCTGGGTTTCTGGTAGTTAATTGGAGATAAGAGTCTCACAGACTTTTCTGGCTGGGCTGCCTTTGAACTGTGATCTCTGATCTCAGCCTCCAGAGTATCTAGGATTACAGGTGTGAGCCACCAGCATGTAGCTAACATGCATTTTTAAGTCTACATGTCCCTTAGTTTTTTTGTCAAAGCTGATGCTGTATCCAGTTGAGTCACAGCTCCACTTCTGGCTTTTTTTTTAAAGTAGAGATAAGAGTTTCATGAACTTAAACAGGTGGACCCATTGCAACAATGAGATGTACAAGACATTATGTCAAAAAACAAACTTTACAACTTTGGTGCGGGTGTGGGGGGATGGTTGAGGGGAGGAGATGGGAAGGGATGGGAATGGGAAACAAAGGAGGAGGCAACAATGCTTGATAAGAAATGTACTCATTACATTGCCATGTAATTGTAACCCCTCTGTACAGTATTCCTACAATTAAAAAAAAGGATCTTTAAAAAATGTTTCATGGACTTTTCTGATAGGACTGGCTTGGAATTATGATCCTCAGATTTCAGCCTTCTGAGTAGCTGGGATTGCAGATATGAGCCACCCACCACTGGCTTGACAGAACCAGATTTTTAACTGCCCCTTATTCTTTTTTTTTTTTTTTTTAAATTTTATTTTATTTTAGTTGAGAACATACTGTACAGAGGGGTTACAATTACATGGGCAGGAAAATGCATACATTTCTTACCAAGCATTGCAGCCTCCTCCTTTGTTTACCCTTCACCTCCCTTCCCAGCCTCCCCCCTCCCCCCCACCCAATCATACCTCCCCTCCCCCCCCCCCCCCCCCCCCCCCCGACATTGTAAAGCCTGTTTTGACATGACATTTTGTACTTCTCATTGTTGCAACAGGTCCACCTGAATCCTTAAACTACTTGTTTGTCCCCGTCTCCTCCACATGTTATACTGACATCAAATATAGTGAAAGCGGGGGTTACACTGTGGGGGAGGGACATACAAAGCAACAAAGAAATAATATTATAAATGCATTAGAAACACATGCATGAAAGAAACAAAAACATTAAAATACATATTTGAGGGTTCGTTTTCCTAACATCACATTCTCTGACTTTTTCCGCTTGACTCATACCTATACTAGATATTGCAAATAAGGGAAACCATGGGACCTATGTTTCTTTGGGCCTGGCTTACTTCACTTAATATAATTTTTTCCAAGCCTTTCCATTTCCTAACTTAACTGCCCCTTATTCTACACATAAAATTTCTGTAGTTTTGTTTGTTTCCATGGTTCTTACATATGTTCCAACATATATCTTTTATATACAAATTAATAATATATGTTCATGTGCATATTAATCATGCACACTTATGATTTTTATTTAACCATAAAATCAAAGAAAAAACTGGTCATTTTCTCCAGTACACACACTGAACAGACTAATGTTTAATTTTTTAAAAATACATTTTTTTATTGTAAAGATACTGTACAGAGGGGTTACAGTTACATGAGAAAGGCAATGAGTCTATTTCCTATTGAGCATTGTTACCCGCTCCTTTGTTTTTCTCCTACCATCCCTTTCCTCCCTACCTCCCCAACTCCTCCCCCCCAAAGTTGTAAAGTTCGTTTTCAACATAGTGTCTTGTACATCTCATTGTTACAATGGGTCATCCTGTATCCTTATTTCAGCATTTTGTTATTTCCCTTTCCTTCCCCAAATTAGAAGGATGTATGTAAAGATACATTGACAACAGGGGTTGTATCATGGGGGAAGAACATACAAAGAAACAAAAAAATCACCTAGTACATTATAATTACCTTAAAAAGAACAACAAGAAAGATAAAATCATTTGTGTCCCTATCTTGGGATTCATTTCTCTTAACATTAGGTTATATGGTCATATGTACATAGCTTTAATGTTTAATTCTTACTACTTTTGTTATTGTATGTTGGTGTTCTGTTTGCCCATTTTTCTTTTGTCTAATTATCACGAAATTTTCATCATTAGGTATGTTATCTGCCCTTCATGTAGTTTGAAAAAATCGTTTATGTGTTAGGCTCTCCTTTGTTTTGTCCTTTTCTCTCATAGAGATTAAATGTAACAAGTTAATCACTTTTTTTAAAAAAATGGAGCTGGAGGCTAGTGGCTAACACCTGTAATCCTAGCTACTCTTGAGTCTGAGATCTGAGGATCATTGTTCACAGCCAGCTTCAGCAGGAAATCTGAGATGGCTGGAAGTGGAGCTGTGGCTTGAGCAGGGAAAACTAAGGAATCGCACACAGGTGCTGAGTACAAGTCCTGGAACTAGCACTAATTAATTAATTAAAAGTTAAATGGGAAAAATTCCAGTAAACATTGGGTAGTGCCTTACATGTCAAGTTGAAAAATACTGATCATGTGCTCTGATCCTTTCCAATCCCTCACACCTTAACTTATGTCACTGAACTTATTTAATTTAAATTGAGACACTTAAACTATCTGTATAATGGTACAGAATACATATTGCTCCTCCCATAAAGATACTTAAAAATCACCAACCATTCATTTTTAATACTTAAAAACAATAATTGTGCAGTGTTCTCTGACTTAAAACATTGCCAGGTTTATTTACATAGTGTTAGGTATTGTACTTCAGGATTGACACCTGGAAGTTGTTTAAAACTTACAGAGAAAAGTGAAATTTCCAAGTGGTTACCCTAAATAATTTGTAAAATTCCATGTCATTGCAATTCACAATGCCTTTCTCTAAAAAGAACTGTAATATAATTTTAGGTAATAAGGATTATACCTTGTGACAGTTACAAATAATCACGTTTCTTCTTTGTTCTTAGGTGAAGCTGTGGTATGACAGAGTGGGGCACCAGCTGATCGTGAATGTTCTACAAGCAACAGATCTACCCCCTAGAGCAGATGGCCGGCCTAGAAATCCCTATGTAAAAATGTATTTTCTTCCAGATAGAAGGTAGTAAAGCATTGGAGAAAAATATTTTTAAACCTTTGCAAATGGAAAAAGTGGAATTTTCTTTTATATTTTTCTTTTATACTTCTTTTATAAGGTAATACATTATTTTTTCTACTGGGGGAATGGAATAAATGATGTCATCGCTGAAAAAATATATTCCCAGGAGTCCTTCATTTTATCTTACTTTATTTACTTGTTATTTATCTATTTTTTTTCTGTTAGTAGTAGGGCTTGAGCTCAGGGTCTTGTACTCTTGCTTGGCTCTTTCCACTGAAATTCACTTCCAGCTTTTTTCTGGTTAATTGGAGATGAAGGTCTCATAGACTTTTCTGGTTTCAAACTACTATCCATAGATATCAACCTCCTGAGTAGCTGAGTATCCTGGCTCTCTGGAGACTTTTATTAATTTGAAAATATTCTGCCAATTTTAAATAACCATCTGTCTACCTATCTGTATCTGTATTGGATACTCATATCACTAAAACGTATCTTTGTATATGTACCTAGAATCATAACTACTTTTTTTTTTACAATGTTTTTCCAGACTTAGTTCTATTAAAAGAGAATCCCAATGGTATTATTACATGTAATTACAGTAGATGGCAGTATGTCCTTATTTTTGTTCATTTATTCACAAAACATCTTCATTTTTTTCAGTGACAAAAGTAAAAGGAGGACCAAAACAGTAAAGAAAGTTCTAGAACCCAAATGGAACCAAACTTTTGTCTATTCCCATGTACATCGTCGCGATTTTCGAGAGCGGATGTTAGAAATAACTCTGTGGGATCAACCTAGGGCACAAGAAGAAGAAAGCCAATTTCTTGGAGAGGTGCTGTATATTAGGAAGATTTAACTCAAATGCTTATTGATGCTTTGCAATATATCTGTTATGAGTATTTTTATGTGCTGTTTGGAGAAGGTACCGGATTTCATTTAAGAACTGTCTTTTTAGATCCTTATAGAATTGGAGACAGCACTTTTAGATGATGAGCCACACTGGTATAAACTTCAGACCCATGATGAGTCTTCACTACCTCTGCCCCAGCCGTCACCCTTTCTGCCCAGGCGACATCTTCATGGAGAAAGCTCTAGCAAAAAGCTCCAACGTAGGTTGAGGTCTTTTCAGTTCTCACAGATGAAATATTTTGTCATCATTTGAAAATTAATTCAAAATATTTTCAGATGTTTTATGAGATATAAAACTATTGGAAAACTTTCCATCTCTATAAAGACATTTGGCAGACATATTTTTCTTCATTTTCACAATACAATTGTATATACAGCATGTATAGAGCATAGTAGAGCTTGAAAGCAAAAAACTCTGGATAGTAATTTTGTGAAAAAATGAATTGTTCGTTGGTTGACCAGTGGAGTCATTTGTGCTATTACTAATTGATTGTGAGATATGATAAGATCGTGTTAACTTTATAGTTATTAGAGGTATCTTCCTATTATTACTCACAATTTTTGTAACATTTTAAAAATGTTTTAAAATTATCTGTAAGCATATTGATATTCCCCTGATGGTTAAGAACAAAGAAATTCTATCAATATCTAGTAATTTTTAAGCCAGGTATTGGTCACTCATACCTGTAATCCTGGCTACTCAGGAGGCTTAGATCTGAGAAGGAAGGTTCCATGTCAGCTTGCAAACAAATCCTTGAGACTCTGATCTCCTATTAATCTGCAAAAAGCCAGGAGTGAAGGTATGGCTCAAATTGTAGTGCTAAAGACTTAAGCCAAATGTGTTTGTGAGGCCTTGAATTCAAGCCCCAGTACACACACACACACACACATACACACACACACACACACACACACACACACGCACGCACACACACACAAAACAAACTAATTTTTGAGTTGTGAGCAACTATCTCGTTTAACCACTGAAACTTACAAGCTTAATTTTGGTAACTGCTAACCAAATTTTTTTCATACAATTGGATATTACATGTTATTTCTTCTCTGATCAATCATTTCCTTAAAATCTATTTTTAATGTCACAGAATGGCTAATTTTAGAAGCGAAATGTATTTTCTAAAGGGCCCAATGCCTTGTCAGGATTACTTTCTCCATAGAGCTGCAGCAAAGAGAAAGCTCTTGGAGACTTTCCACTCAGCATCATCCTTGAAATGCAGAAGAAGGTCCTTTAAGTTAATTTATTCACTCTACTGAAAGCTTTTAGGTAGTATTTTAAATACATAATAATCTCAGCAGTCTTATTCTCTGAAGCTCCTTTGTCTTTATGTCTTCAGTATTGTAAGTACATTTTGAGAAAATGTTATCCTTTGAGAACATACCGTTATTTATCTTTCTACCTACCTACCTATTTATTTATTTATTTTTAGTGCCAACACTGGGGCTTGAACTCATAGCCTCACATTCTCACTTGTCCTTTGTCTTTTTAAGACTAACAGTCTGCCACTGGAGCTACGGCTCCACTTTTGACTATTAGTTGAAGATAAGGTCCTAATGGACTTTTCTGCTCAGTCTGGTTTTGAATCTTGGTCCTCAGATCTCAACCTCCTCAGTAACTAGGATTTCAGGCCTGAGCCTCCAGTACCTGGCAAACAATTTTGTCTTGAAAACTCAGCTCCGTGTTTAAGTTATGTTGTTCTTGTTCCCAGTATTTACTAGCAAGTAATTAAGCATTAAGAAAAAATAAGCATGTCCTTTACCATGCAGACACAGAGGTATCTGTTTGCCTTACTGTTGTGCAGGATCTCAGCGAATCAGTGATAGTGACATCTCAGATTATGAGGTTGATGATGGTATTGGAGTAGTTCCTCCAGGTGCGTGGATGTGAAGAGCATGGCTCTGCTTCCCTGTGTGTCAACTGCCAGACTTCTTCCAGATACTGAGCTGGATTTCTGCAGCACAGAAAAAAAAATCAGTATAATGTTATTCCATGGTGACTTGTGTTTCCAATTGTTAAAACGTTGAAAATGACTGAATTAGTATCTATTAACACCATCCCTGTTTGCTTCATTTAATCAGGCTCTTCCGTAGAAGCAGCATAGTCAGGAAAAACAAATTCTCGATTTCACGATGCTCTGAGCATAAGTAAACATATGAATTTCATTTTGCAAGGATATGGTTTAAATTCCATTCTCCTGTGTCTTATATTGCATTTATGTGATCTATTCTCTTCCTTCGTTTCTGAAAATAATGTAGCAGTCCATGGAATATACTGAGGAAGGTGCATGGCAGGGTTGGAAATTGCATGTGGCATGGCTATCGCTTTTAGCGCTTCTGTGATGTGCTCACCACTGACAATGCCTAGATTGTGTGTGTATATGTCTTTAAATAGGAAAATGCTTCAGAAAGATCCAACGTTAATTTGAAATGAACAATTTGTCATTGTATAGTTGGTCAGATTTGGGGGCATATTTTACAGTTCGAACTTGCATTTCCTATCTGGATTTTGTCCAGAAAGTGTGTAAAATCAAGTACTAATGGTTAATCCTAAGTAATTTCCTTTGGTTTATTAATAAAAGGAAATTAAATATTCAAATAACAACAGATTAAAGGGTCCTGTGTTGAAGAAACGTGATTTATTGAACCCAGCTTGTTTGAATAGTGTTTATATATGTCCTCTTAATTTATGTAATTTTTCAAAAGGAGATGCACTTAATTTGAGAGCAATAATAGCTTTTGTAAATTATCAACTTTGGAAAAATTGGTTCTACACTATTGACCAAATTCACAATTTGATGTAGTGCATATAGCTTTATTGGACATAGGAGAAAATTATGGAGAATTCTATAAACTTAGTTGGATTGGCTCTCTATAATTAAGAGAAAGTACAGTATTTAATCATGTAGGAGAGTAGCATAGTTGGGTATGTTGGCACATGCCTGTAATCCTAACTCTTCTGGAGGTGGAGACAGAAGACTTGCCATGGTTGAGGCCCATCCACACAAAGTGAGGGAGACACTATCTCACAAACACAATACCAACAAAAGGGCTCTGGGGCGTGGACCAAGTGTGGATCACTTGTATGGTTTGTTTCAGGCCTTGGGTTCATTCCTCAGCACCACACAAAGTAGCAAACCAAATATTGTTAAATCAAAAGCTTAGTATTATGAACACCTACATATTTATATATTACTCTTTGATATCAAAGTATAAGAGGAAGATTTGAATAATACTGTATATAAGTATTTTTATTTTTTTAAAATTTCATTTGGTTTCTTTTTCTTTGTGCTGATCCTGGAGCTTGAACTCAGAGCCTGGGAACTATCTCTGAGCTTTTTGGCTCAAGGCCAGCACTCTACTACTTTGAGCCATAGTTCTGCTGCCAGCTTTTAGCTGCTTAATTGGAGATATGAGTCTCACAGGTTTTCTCCTGGCCAGCCTGGCTTTGAACCATGATCTCAGAGCTCAGCCTCCTGAGTATCTAGGATTACTAGCTTTGAACCACCTGTGTCCAGCTGTCGTTTTTATTTCTTAAAGAAATAAAATCTGTAGTTGTATATATTCCCAACAGAAACTTCCAGAATATAACAGATTGTTTTTTTTAATGAAACTGAAAGGAAAAATAACTAAATTTAAATCTAAGATCATATTCACATAGGAAGTAGATTAATGTTATAGCAGTTACTAGATAGGATAGCTATCACATATAATAAAATTCTTGACTATTAGGAGTCATAATGTTTTCACCAGCTTACATAGAGTTTTCTTCTATGGGTTGGTCTTACATTGTATTCACATAAAATTTTGTAATTTTATTTATTTATTTATTTATTTATTTGGGTCTGGTCATGGGGCCTGAACTCTGGGCCTTTGGTTGTCCTTCAGCTTTTCAGCTCAAGGCTGGCACTCTACCACTTGAGTCACAGTGCCACTTCCGGCTTTTTTCTTTTTGCTTATGTGGTGTTGAGGAATCGAACCCAGGGTCTCAGGCATACAAGGCAAGCACTTTACCACTGAGCCACCTTCCCAGCCCCAAATTTTGTAATTTTAATAATGAGACAGGACACAGCTGATGTGCAGACTAGATGTTTACTAATGTGATTAGTTTCTTTTGTTTTTTCTTTTCTGATATGAGATACTGAACAGTTAAAATGAACTATAGGATCTACTACAAATGGGATTAAATTTTTGTACCATGAAAGAACACAAAATTCTAAAAAGGTCTCAAGTCCAATGCTGAAATGTTCTTATCAGAATGTATGATGCACAAATAATATCCTTTATCATATAGGAACAATGTTTAAATTGTTATTTGAAATAACATTTCTATTCTTCTATTTAGCTTTTATTAAATCAATTGTAGGGCTTAAACTCAGGGTCTGGGCCCTGAGCTTTTTTTGCTTAAGGATAGTTTTAGCCACACTTAGACATCTAGTTTTTAGGTGTTTAATTGGAACTAAAAGTCTCAGGCATGTTCTGCCCCAGTTGAAATCGAAATTTGATTTTCAGATCTCAGCTTCCCAAGTATCTAGGATTACAGGCAAAAGTTACCAGCATCCAGATTTATTTAACATCTTAAAGTACATTGAGCCTACATTTTGACAGATTATAATCGTTTATATAAATCATAAAAAATTATTTCTCTTCATAGTCATATAGTTTATTTGTATTTTCGAGTAATCATCCATCCAATAATGCACAGATTATAGCATAGATAGCTACATGACACAAATGCAATGTAGTGAAATCACACAGTGATATACCTTTTATTTATTTATTTATTTTGTTGATTGTGGGGCTTGACCTCTGGGCCTGGGCATTGTCCCTGTGCTCTTCAGCTCAAGGCAAGCGCTCTACTACTTCAGCCACAGTGCCACAACCAGTTTTCTGGTGGTTTATTGGAGATAAGAGTCTCATGAATTTTCCTGCCCAGGCTGGCTTGAAACACAATCCTCAGCTCTCAGCCTCCTGAGTAGCTAGGATTACAGGCATGAGCCACAGGCATCTGGCATGATTTTAAATAAAGAGAAAAATTGATGTATTGAGAAAATATGCAATAAGGTAAAATGAAATCAAGGATTTTATTGATAAGCACAATATATTATCACTGTTAGAGATAAATTATAAAAAAACAGCTTGTTCATTTTTCTAACATACAATGTGAAGAGAAAATTTCTATCGATGAAATTTCTTATTGACCTGAAGAATCTCAAATGCTTAGTTCAAAATGCTGTACCACAGCAAATCTTAAATGTCTTTATACCTTGACTTTTCTAAAATCTGTTCCACATATTTAATAGTTTTTCTGAAAGATAAATATAGTAGGTTGTGAATTTATATTTGATGAACTCTTCAAAGATCTTCCTCAGAGTATAAGTTTAGTTACAAAATTATGATATTACACAGATTAACTGCTAGGAAACGATTAGCTTTTAGAAATGATGTTTTATGGCATTTTTAAAAATAAATGACTTTCAAAGTTAAAGGATGAACAAAAAATTAAGTTGCCCAGCTAAAATTCTACTTCCATGGTCCATGTGCATTTTATGTAGTTGAAAATATAACTGCTATTTCCTCCTTTTACCATACATTATTATTTTATTTTCTTTGTACTAATAGAAAATAATGACCATTATGGGAACATTCTAAATTTCAGCTTCTGTACAGTTGAGATTACTATTTTTTTCTTAATCAAATTAGAGATGATATAAGAAAAAACCCTTTATACTTCAAGGAGAAAGATCATTATAATTTAGTTTTCATTGCACTTTTTGTCAACTGCATTAGTTAAGTCATGCTACATTCACAACCTATGGAAGAAATGTCCATGGTAAATCTGATGTTTTAGTAACGTTAATTTTTTCTCTACATATTACCATAATCATCTTCACTCATAAATTACTTACATTTGAAAATTGCAGTATTACCTATGATTTGCAAAATTCATTATCTATTATTTGTAACACTCAAATTTCTTCTATACTCTTTGTTTTTTAAAAGCAGTCTACCACTGTTTTCTTTTTTACCCTAGACTTTTGATAGAATAGTTTTATTGTCCATTTATTAGTGAATCTGTTTGAAATTCATCTACAATCTTCTAGAAGATTCAAATAAAGAATTTATATAAATTTAAAAAGATACCAAAATTCTAAGCATTGACTTGCATATTAGTGATAGTTCACAATCAACTGCTTGATGTATGTTGTTGAAATGCTACTAACTCATTTGTTCTTTCAATTAAAATAGTGTCCTAAGTCATCATAATGTCTGAGGCATTAACTGTCACGTTCATAGTTGGTATCTTCATAGTAGCGTGGAACCAAAGAGTAATTGTTCTTATGCATGTATATGTTACACTCTGTGTACGTATACATAATACTTTTGAAGACAAGGCTAACACTATTGATTGCATGGCACTTAAGATTAATAGGTTGATGGCTGCATTAATAGAATTTTGTTTTTTAATGTTTGCCTGATGGAAGAACTCTAACTTTTTTTGTGTGTGTATATATTTTTGTCAGTGGGTTATAGGTCTAGTGCTAGAGAAATTAAAGCAACCACATTAACAGTGCCGGAACAGCAAAGAACCACTCACCACCGCTCACGCTCAGTATCTCCTCATCGCGGCGATGATCAGGGAAGGCCGCGTTCACGTTTACCAAATGTGCCATTACAGAGGTAGGTATTCAAGAGACTCTGAATTGCTATAAGAATAAATCTGCAACAAAATAATGGTTATGTCAATCAAATTTGTTTACTTAGAACTATTTGTAGCAAAATATTTATTCTTCACCCAACCTATGCAATACTTTGTTCTTTAGTTTTAAGAAGTTCTCTAGAGGATGGAAAATATTTATATTCTTAGCAGAGCATTGAATAACTATCGCATTCTGCTTGCAAGTTTTCATTCCTCTTAGGGGAACTCTCACAATAATGAAGCAGAATTATGGAGGAAAATGACAGAGGGCAAGCTTGAAGGAGAATGTATCTTAAGAGAATTAGCATTACATAGTTGGAGAAGTTTCAGTGCAGGAAAAATTGTCTAAAACACGTATATTATTCTATCCTATCATACTTGGGCTATGCAACAAGAGTTGTGGTGATGAGGATCATAATTATGTCCCTTTTTTTGATTGTGATGTAAAAGGAAGTTGGAGAAATGTAGCACAAGCAAAGCTGATTGTGTACTCTTAAAAATAATTGATTAAAATAAGCATGAGAGCTGAGTGCTGGTGCCTTACAACTGTAATCCTAGCTATTCAAGAAGATTGCAGTTCAAAGCCAGCCAAGGCAGGAAAGTTTGTGAGACTCTTATCTCCAGTTAACTACCAAAAAAACCAGAAGTGATGCTATGGCTCAAGTGGTAGAATGCCAACTTTGAGCAAAAAAGCCAAGCAAGAGAAAAAGACCCTGAGTTCAAGCCTCATTATTGGCACAAAAATAACAACAACACAAAAATAGGTTTAAGGATGATACCAACACTGTTTAAACCACATTATTTGTTTGCCAATTTCTGTCCATTTATTTCTCTTATTCTGGGTAACATTATTAGGAGTTGGTATGCTTTGATACATGAATATTTTTTGTAATCAATTTTAGGAGCTTAGATGAAATTCATCCAACCAGAAGATCACGCTCTCCAACCAGACACCATGATGCCTCCCGAAGTCCCATTGACCATAGAGCCAGAGATGTGGACAGTCAATATGTATCTGAACAAGACAGGTACTTGTCCAAATTATTATCTTAACACTGTAAGTTTTTCTTCCTTCTAACTTGATGTACACAGATACGGTGGCATACTACATTAAAAAGTAAAATTATTTCATCATTCAACCCCGAACTTCACTCTGGAATTGTTTAAGACATTATAACATAAATGCAACTCTAGAAATTAATGGGACAACATTATACAGTTGTTTTTTTAAATCATGCATTATATTTATATTTAGCCAGTTGCAAACATACAGTTGTTGATTTAGATTTTGACATAAATTATAGAAGGGCACCTATAGGAGCAATTTTCAAGTATTCATCTTTTAGGAGTCACTGTGTTTGGGATGCTGTTTTTTATAATTATTAAATTATTTATGTAATGAAATATTTTGAACATGGGTTATCTGAAAGGCAGCTAATATTACAGATTTTCTGCGATAAATTGAATCATATAGTATTTGTGATAAATCACTTTTAAAATAAAATGTCTTTCCATAAATTCCTATAAAACATAAGATACTAAGATGGGTTCTGTCTTATATGAATATGACTTTAGTTCTGCACTTATTTATGAGAAAATGCTTACTGCAACTTTGTATCATGAACCTATTGTTCAGCCTGCCCATTGAGCCTTACAACCATGTGCTTGTTTTGTGAGGCTGACCCGAAGCTCGGGGGCTGGTTTAAGCTTCACAGTATTTAGTAAGTGTTGGATGTACCCTTCTGGCTTTATGAAGTAGGGGAAGTTACTTTGAGGTATAGGGAAATGATAGTGTTACTGAGTGATTCTATAGCATGGAATCAAGCCCAGGATGACTTTTTCAACTACCTCATTGACTGGGACGTGGGGCTATGACCTTCAGGAGGGGATTAACATTGGTCACAGGGACAGGAAACTGCTCTGAAGAATAGGGTTCTAGAATTCTCACATTCATTTGGGTCTCTGAATTTTAGTGCGGCTGGCTAACAAGGGTTATCAATTATAGTGAATATAATTAGTATATATAAAAGGTACAATTTTAGTGTGAAAATCCTAATCACATCCATTCTTACTTGATGAAGAAAAAAGTACTGTCTATTGAATTTTCAGTGGCTATACAAGCCAAGAAAATTATCATGAGTTAATTTGCTATAAAGAAAAAAAAAGCTTTTAAAGTTCCAGTTAATATCAGAAAGACCAAGCATGTGTTGTTTAAATATTCATATGATTATACTTGAAAACATATTCCTTGTAGCTTATGAGGAAAACTTAATTTTATTTTGAGTTTGTGTTCTACAAAATAATATTGAAACACACTAGCAGATCAGCAACAGCATATAGGACTCAGCCACAATGTTTGTACTTTATTGTTTAAATTTTTTAAATACTGTCATGTTTATTTATTTATTATTTATTTATTTATTTATTTATTATTTATTTTTCTTTAACCTCTCAAGCAAGTATACTAGTGCAGACAATCTGGTTTCTTCCCTTTTCATGTTTCCATTGGCATACCATCGACATAACCCATGTCATTTAATGCCTCATAATTTATCTGTTTCACTCACCACCCATCCTGTCTGTGCAGTGAGCTTCTTATGCTGCCCAGAGCAAAACGAGGACGAAGTGCAGAATGCCTACATACTACCAGGTAATTACAGGGATTTGGTAATGGTGACTGTGTGTGATGACTTTCTTTCCATTCTCCTATTCTTCCGTCTTTTCTTCAGTAGTATTATGACAAGTAGAAATTTACTGAGTATTCATAAATTGCTTTACCTTCTATGGAGGTTATGAAAAAGTTTCCAGATATATTCCAGTTCTAATCCAGATAGACTACTTGCTTATCTAAAGTTCAAAATTCAAAAAGAATAAGCCTGTGTGAAACTATTTTCACATTCAGAAAACCCAGGCACTAGGAACCTGCAATTACAGTTCCAGACACTCACTCTGAGTACTTCCTGCTCCTCCTAGCACACACATCAACTGTCTAGTCACCGTTCTGATCTGTGCATGGCAGTCTTAGTGGTCTCATGATTATAATTTCGCCTTTTGTTTTCATTTTTTCCTTTTGGAATTTACTGTTATGTTATTCATATGTCAATTGTGTATGTTACAATATTACCAGTGGATTTTTAATGTTTGACCTTCAGCTTCCTTCTTGTTTAAAGATGTTTGACCCTTTAACTTCTTAACTTATCAAACCCCTGCCAGAATAGAAATAATGCATTATAAAATTTTCCTTAAACATGTGAGTAAATATACCTTTTATTCAGATTAGGAGAAAAAGGATCAGTCTCCTGGAAATTACATCTTAAAGCTTGATACTTCATGATAGTCTCATTAGATCTTGAATTTTATATCTAAAAAACATTTTTTTTTACAGTTTATTCATTTTACAAGTCTAAAGTTACCCTAGTGATAACTACTACAGTGTTTCTTTTAAATACTTGGGAAAATAGATGAGGAAATGTTAACCAATATAGGAAAACAGAAATAAAAAATACTGTAAAAATCACTCAATTCAGATACCATACTGTTTAAGATTATCATTAGCTTTTCTTCTAGGCAATCATATTGTCAATAGATGGTTGTTCAGTAATTTTGGATGTTTGTACCTACTTTGGCTGATGGGACTACAAACAAAATAGACACATAGGTATACATGCACAGGTACACACACTCTGTATTTATTAAAGTACTTGTGTGTGCCTGGCATCTCATGTATATTTCTAGGCTACATACATCAGTAGTCTAAATAGAGTAGATTAGTAAGTTTTTCCATGTCCTTATTTTGTACCAGTATTTGTGAAGGCATCATTCTATGCCATCTTAATCTGAATGTTGACATTTTACTAATAATTCTGAAATCCATTTGTATTATTGGTTTCATAGAATCAATATGTTGATTTACATGTCTGACTCATGCAGTAATCATATAGTTAATAGTTAATCATATAGTTAGTACTTGAATGAACAGCAGACACAGATCAATCCCTGAAGCTGATTGTATAACAACAACAACAACAACAACAACAAAAAGATAAGAAATGAAATTAGAACTAGTTAGAGGGGTAGAGTCATATGAATCTTTTAGTGTTTTCTTTTACCACTTCCTTCCTGATATTTTTAATAACAGTAATTGTCCCACTTGTTTTTGACTGCCAAATGCATTTTTAGTACAACTACCCATAATTGTAACAACTGCCCTTTTAGTCCTCAATTTTCAAATACTTCTCATTCATTTTATTTTCTGTAAGGACAGAAAACATAAATTCAAATACATGTATTTTTATACAATGTTTTCTGTATCTGTACTAATGCATTTATAAAAAGTTTTCATCAGTATTTGTATAATAAAATATACAAGCATAAATAAACATATATGTATATATAGATATGTAAATAATTAGCTTGTTTTCATATAAATTATGGAAAGTTATTATCAATATAGCTTTTAAGGTTAAATATTCTCCAATGCTTTAAAATTTTATCATTATCATGTTTACTCTATTTTTAAGTATAAATAATTAAAAAATTAAAATCTGAGGATTTACTACCTTCAAAAAATCTGTATATTATTGAGTACAGTATTAGTATTTAGTGCAACTTATCTTGGTTTTCTGAGAATACTGTGCTATGAATATTACTTTTTCATTTTATATATGAGGAAAACAATTCTCAGAAAGTTTAATTTGTTTAAATCACAATAAAGATTCAAGATCAAATCTACTTCATAGTTTTCAAATAACTAATTTTTCCAAAACTATAATAGTTGGTTCTATGAGAGGTTCTATCACCAAAACTAATTTTGAGTTAAGTAGCTTGGAAATTTTACAAACTAAAGTCTTCCCTGCTATGAGTATTGAAGAATTCTAAAGTACTAAAGAAACCGATTTTGTATTATTTAATCCACTTAGACTAAATTGATCATCATGACATACATTTTTCATAAAATATTTCTCAGAAAATGGTAACATTCCAAAGATACTGTAGCTATCTTTGTTGTGGATATGTTTTCCATATTATTTCATCTAATCCACATAGTACTAATTAAGTGGTTATATCTGCCATTTTATAGCTGTAAAACAGAGTCTTGACCTGGTTTTCCAGTTCATAGCCACTGTGCTTCACTTGAGTATTTATACAAGTTTAGACACTCAGACTATACTTTCCCCATCCATTTCCCATTTCATGTGATCTCTGTTAAAGTATTCCTGAAAAAAAATTTTTTGAGGATATTTCTTAGGAAATTTTATAGCAACTTATTACTAAAAGTGTTTGCCTAAGGTAGAGATTGCAAAGAAGTTTCTATAAAACAATCTGAATCCTTTCATTAAAAATGTTTTCCTCAACAAGTGCTTCCAATGGGACTCTAGTATATTTTTATATTCTTGCTTTAAGGTATTTCCTTTGATTTGACCATTAGCATAAATGTGATCAAATTTGTGGAGTGTTTAATACTCTGCATATCCTTGATAAATGCAGGTTCTCTTCCCTACTTTCTATACTTCAGTGTAAACTAAAATAGATGATAGATTTTCATAATTGATAGTTTGTAGAACTTTATTAAACTAGCAAGAAATTAACTAACTGGACCTGGTTTTACTGTTTGTGATGATAAATTTTACCCATGATTGATGTGGATCCCCAAGCTGAGAAATAAAAAGAACTTGCTTTAAGCCATCACTTTGAGGGTCCTTTTGTTCTTTCAGTACCATGACCAAACTCATCAATTCTTTGGATTTTCAACATTCATTCAGTCCTATTTTACCTCTCAGAATTACCCAAACTGCTAATTTGTATTTATCTGTAGGTTGTTTGGTTCTATAAAAGAAGTTATAAGGCCAGAGACTTAAGCATTAAATTTTAACATTTTAATAATTCACAGAATCTGGTTAGCAAGTATTTTTTCTAATTAAGGTAATTATTGAGCAGTATGAAATTAGATGTCTATGATTTCATATTTTATATTTTATTAATTCTAATCCTGCCTTCAATTATTTGGGCTCTTCAAAGATCCATCCACCTAGCTTTGTAGGTTTCTTAGATTTTTACTATCCTAGTGAAATTTGCTTCATGTGTATTTTTCTGTTTCCTGCGTGTTTGTATTGCCACGTTCCAGACATCTTGTTAAACACTATAAATCATTACCACCCAAGATGCCTTTATTACAGAACGGCTCTCACTGGAATGTCTACAGGTAAGAGCCACCCTGTGAGCCCATTGTAAACTAATCCCTAATCCCCTGCCTAACAAAAATTAGAAAAATTTTCTTTGGAAATTAATTACACAGATAAACATTAAATTAACATTACCCAAATCTTGTCTTTGTTGTAAAACTTGATAATTGTAGAACTAATTCTCTAAAGTAAATCTCACTACAATGTCTCAGTTCCAGTTGTCTGTCCTTTATTTGTTGTTGTACTTGTTGATTTTAATTATGGAAATTAATTTTATTTTATTTGTGTATGGTTTGAATTTGTGAAGCTCAATTCTGCCTGCACATGCTAAGACCAAATCAGTGACTAGACAGGACATTCCCTTTCATCATGAATACTTTAACTCAAGAAAATTGAGATTTACTGATGAAATACTGGTTAGGTAAGAACACTGGAAGTGTTATCTTCCTCCTCCCTTGTCTGGTGTTGTGAACCAAAATAGTTGAGCTGTAAAATTATTTCATCTCTGATGTCCTTCATTTTGTTTTGGTGTAGCATCATTTGTGGTAATAAATTCTTAGGCTTTTTGTTTTACTTCTTCCTGTATCTAGTTTTTTTGTTGTTTGTTTGTTTTTCCCATAAGTAGAATGTGACTTAAGTGTCATATTTCAGTCTGAAATCCTTTGAAAGAAATTATGCAAAGCAATATAAGCATAATATTTGTTTAGCTCCATCTTCTAAACAAAATTTTACACTTGTCATCCTGTCAACTCTCTCATATTCTTATGAACTGAATCACAGTGATTCTACCTTTTATGTAAAAAGATCATTATTTTATGCTTTACTCTCTAACATGGTCTTCCTTTCTTTGTTTTCTTTGTCTTTCTTTCTACCACTGGATGCAATGCACTGGCACTAGTGAACTACAGCCCTCGCTTGACAGGGCTAGGAGTGCTAGTACTAACTGCTTGAGACCAGATACTAGTTTGCATTCACCAGAACGAGAAAGGTATCAAATAAAGACTTTCTTAATTTCTTATCATTTGTATTGGTGATTTTTTTGATCATTTTGTTTCATGTGTGTCTTGCAGGTTTATTCATTCATGTTCACTTGGCTAATTGTCTACATTTTCTCTGCCTTGATATACATGTGCGTTTGAGATATGTGCATGTGAAACGTCCAGAGTGCACATGCACATAGCTCTACGAATGTTGCAAATGGTTTGATGTAATTTGTGGTTGCTTCTAGCTGCTGCTTTCCCTCTTCTGTTGCTGTTCAGTCCTTTTATTTATGTACTACTCAGGGAACCTTCAGTATGCTGATAATATTGTAAAGTCCAGTGAATTACCTCCAGGAAAGGATAACCTTCCTGTTAGTTGTACTAATAAATAGTATTTATACACTTGACTATAATCATGCATAAACCAATAATAGGAATTGCACTTAGACCATATGTTTCCCTTAGATATCTGTAGCCACTTTTTAATTCATCTCTTTGGTATAGATGTTCTGTGTTAAATTCATTTTGACAAAAATTATGTGATAAGCAGAGATTTCCTGGGGCTTACAAGAATGAATACATAAAATATATACCCTCGTAATTTTAGTGGAAAAACTATAAATGTCTGATTGGTTAATCTGACTTTAACTCATAAGGATTATTTGGTAAAGGTTTACACTGTTTTCAAATTGTAAGCATTTAAACTTACATTGTGTCTGAACTTTCTGATTCAGTAAATGCAGTTATTACTGAGAGTTTTGTTTATAATTACCATCCCTTTTTATAAGTGAGAAGTCATTTAGTCATTCAGGGGAAGCTGCAATCTGCTGCTGTACAAATTGTCACACCTGTAATCCTAACTACTCATGAGGCTGTGATCTGAGGATCATAGTCCAAAGCTAGCCAGAGCAGAAAAGTTTGTGAGAAATTTAGTTCCAATTAACCAGTAATTTGGAGATTTTTCTTGCAAAAAGCCAGAAGTGGCAGAGATCAAGTGATAGAGCACTAGCTTGAGCAAAAAAGCCAAGGGAAAGCAAGGAGGCCCTGAGTAACAACATACACAGAAAGAAAAGAAGAACGAAAGGAGGAAAGAGAAAAAGGAAGTAAGGAAGGGATGAAAGGAAAGAAGATGAAAGAAAGTAAAAGAAAAGAATAGAAAAGAAAAATAATTCAAGCTACACATGTATTTTCCAATTGTCTAGGGTGATTTTTTTTTTTTTTGTGGAACAAGGAATTGAACTATGGCTTAAGACATGCTACACCAGAACTTTGTCATTGGAGCGCTAAATTTTGAGAGTTTTAATCCTTATAAACAAGTGTGTTAAAACTTTATTGTATGACTGTGTCACTATTATTAAAAAAAACTAGTAGCAATATTACTTGCATTCCTTTATGCCTCCTGAGTCATACATCCTTTGTATATCTTTTTTGCTCTTTCTACCTGGAACTAGCCATTCTTGTTACTGCTGGGTGGCACAAGTGTTCTAATGGTGCAGCCTCTTTAGCATGCTTCTTTAAAGCCAGAGTTCACAAATCTGTAAACATCTCAAATTACACCATTAAATCATGTCAGCCTATAGACAAGAAAGCTAGCCATAATTAGTGTACATGTGACTGTCCAGTTCAAGTGAGCAAATATACCAATACTATAGGAAGAAAAATGCATGGAAAACTTTATTCCCTGTATGCACTGAATAAAACTATGTTTTCTATAAAAAAAAATCAAGGATCCTAAATTTATTGAGAGCACTTTATAGATAATAAGAAAATAAAGTAAGATATGTTTTCATAAAATAGGTTACAGGTCAATATTTACATGGTTTTGAAAATGGGTACTATAAAATCCCTTTCTAACACATGCATAAAAGAAGCTGAGAATGAATGAATAAGGGTAGAGAAAATGGTGTCTGGGATCTTTGGAAAGTTCTTTTGTCAAGAAATGTAGGGGGAAGGAAGTGAGAGGTTGGGGTTCATTTCTGTGGTCATAGGCTGGTTGCTCTAATTTCTAATATATTTATAATAACTAAAATGGCGAAGAACTCTTACAAAATACCGTTTAAAATTATATTGAATACTGGGGCTTTGAATTTAGGACCTTGTCTTTGGGTAGATGCATTCTGTACCACTTAAGCAATGTCTCCAATACTTTGAATATTTTTCAAATAGGGTCTTGAGTTTTCCCTTGGGCTGATCTAAGACTGTGATCCTCCTACCTTTGTCTCCAGAGATACATTGGGATTACAGGCATATGACCTGATGCTCAGCTTAATTTTGAGGAAACATATTCCTGGTTATTTCCAGCAGGCATCCCCTCTCTGCTAATTGGCTGGGATTATAGGTATAATTTGTGTTTTTCAGACAACATTATTTCTGGAGCTTGATGAAATCCTGTGTGAAGAGTCAATGATTTGATGATTCTGACGCATTTTCCTAATATTTGTTAAGCTATCCTAAATAGCGTTTACAGCAAATTGTTTTGTATTAACACAAAGAGGAAGCTATCAAGACAGTCTCAGACTCTGACTTCACTGATGATTCAAAAACTTGACAAGAATTAAAAATTTATTCATTTCCCCAAAGAAGCTAGAGTGTACCCTGAGTGTACCTTATCTACTTTATTAGATGTTCCATCCCAGATTAACAGAGTGGTTTTGAGTTTTTATTATAATTGCTCACATAGAAGTATTAACTCTTGAAGTTTTATTTCAGTATACAAACTTTTTTGTTTTATATTCTGAGATTACATGAATAGAAAATTTGCTTACTTATGAATGATCGTAATTCAGTAATTGACTCCAGTTTAGTCACTCTTAATATCAAGAAATTGGGGATTTATTTATGAGATTATCTCTTAGGTAGTTTACCTTGGGCCCTGAATCTCCTTCCACATGGAAACAGAAAGGAAGTTTCTATCTATAATTGAAGAACTATAAATTGAAATGAAATACATACCATAAACCTTATTTCAGAGCATAAGTATCATCTTAAGTGAAATATTATTTAAAATATGTTGGAGGGACATGTTTTTGAAGGTCTAATATGAATAAGGGAATACAAAATAAAATGTGTGTTGTGTAATCCATAATCTCATTTGGTTTGGTGTCTGATAAAGTATTTAATTTATTTTTGACTCATGCTATTTATACAGTGCAGTTGCTTTTAGAAATAATTAAGCTACTTTGCCATGTGCTACCAAGAGATATGCACCACAACTGATATTGATACGTTCTTGCATGTAATTCATTATATATTTAAGCACACAAATTCACTTTAAGATTTAGCGGAGGAGGCTACAATGCTTGATAAGCAATGTACTCATTATCCTGCCCATGTAATTGTAACCCCTCTGTACAGTATTTTCACAATAAAAAAAGATAAAAGAACCTCCAAAAAAAAAGATTTATCAGTGTTAATAAAAAGATTTATCAGTGCTAGAGAAAAAGCACCATTTAACAATTTTTAATCCATACAATGGCTTGTGAATTCTAATTCTTTCATATCTCTTCAGTGGGCACTTATCATAACTGTTAGTTTTTGTACATTCCTCATTGTATTTTACCTAGCACTACTAAGCCCATAGTCTCCTGTGCTTAATATGCATTTTAGTATGTTTTTAAAAAAAATCTATTCAGCCTAGTACTGGAGGCTCATGCATGTAATCCTAGCTGCTCAGGAGGTGGAGATCTAATGGCAGCAGTTCAAAGCCAGCCCAGGCATGAAAGTCTGTAAGACCCTTATTGCCAGTTAACCACTAGAAAAGAGAAACTGACATATGGTTCAAGTTGTAGAGCACTAAACTTGAGCAAAACAGCTCAGGGATAGCACTCAGGCCTTGTGTTTAAGCAATAGGATCAGCACACACACAAACATTCACAAAATCCTTTCAACAGAGTTTCTGTATTAATTATTTTAAAATAGTTGGCATTAAAATACTAACTTAGTAATTTAATTTGTACGTAGTACAAATTATATAAATATGCTGGCATGGAAAAGAAATCAAAAGACTAGTGTAGTTCAGTGTACTGATTGAAGTCTCTAGCATATTGTGATTATTAATTTAGGAAATGAGACTAGAAGTAGAAGTTGAACCTTTGCATATTTCTCAGTAAGTGGAGGTGCTGGTGGCTCCTGCCTGTAAACCTTGCTACTCAAGAGAGCTGAGATTTGAGGATGGAGGTTCAAAGTCACTTCAGCCAAAAAATCCTTCAGACTCTTGTCTCCAATTCATCACAAAGAAGTTGGAAGTAGAGCGGTGGTTCAAGCGATAGAGTACCATCTTTTAGAACAAAAAGCTAAAGAATAAAATCAAGACCATGACTTCAAGCCCTAGTACCAATACACACAAAAAATAAATGAAAGTAAATAAATAGAGAGAAAGGGATAAGGATCTCAATTTAGAGCCCTTTATGTGATCCTATTACTTATATCCCAATATAAAAGCACAGAGACTATGCTTTTGAATCTGAAACTTACAAATCTGTGAGTTAAAAATTGACATATACAGGTCTCTAGACATTCAGACAATGAGACCAAATGAGGTTATTCATAGGAGTGGATTACAAAGGTTCTATAGCTATGTGCATATGATTATATAAAATAATATTTTGAAATAAACTCAAAGAAATGGAAAGAAGAAAAAATGACATGTTTATTTTTAGAACAAAAACATGCTTATAAATTTATCCTGTTTTCAACTTATCTAGAATATTGTGTAAAGAATGTATTTTCATATGGATACTGAATATCAGCATATTCAGAAGGACTGAGTATATAGATGTTAGTATGTTAAATATTTGTTCAGTAATTACCTTTTTTTAATAGCTTGCCTTCACAGTTGCTTGTTTCTCAGTTTGTACACCTTTGCCCTTCATAAATTTCACCGTATGTTTCATAATTACAGTGTTTTGTTTACTTTTATCTTTACTTTTTTGTTAAAATAAACACAAGGACTGGAGTTTTGCTTCAGGAAGCAAAGTTACTCATAATCTTTTAAAGTTGAAGTCATTACTTCACTAAAAAAATTATTTCTATTTCTGTGTTTTCAAATAGCATCAAAAGTTTTTACATAACTAAAAATAACATACCAATTGGGTTTTGTAATTATATTTTGTTATCATAGAAATGTTTTACTTTATCTGTGGAACCAAGCCAGTAACTTGAAACATTTTTAAGGATTTACATTAGATTGGCCAATAATTTAAATGACTTCAAAAAATTAAAAAAAAATTTCAATTTATTTGGAAAATGTTTCAAATTTAGTACACATCTAACATGCTTGCAAGTACTTGCCACATCTTTTTCTCTCTTTTTTTTTTTTTTTGGCTCAAATTCTATTATTGCTTGTTCTTTTACTTACTTCATGACTTCTTTGAAGCCCTGCCCTATTTTGTTCTTTGTCCTTCTCCATGTGATTAAATGAATGTTCCTAATTTCTCCAAATACTGTCACATCTAGATAAGTCCTGCTTTCCTTTAGGTGGTCCAACAAGACCAACAAGGCATGAAAGGACAAGATACTGTTGTCCAGACTATAGTTTCTTTGTTAATTATAAAATTTTATGCCTCAATTATCCCTTTGTTGCATATGAGAAAGACACCAACCAGAGAAATTATCCTGCTAAATATTTATTTGTATCATATACATACACATTTCTAATCCCACCCTGTTCAATCCCATTTTCTTCTGTTTCAACTAGGTTTTATTTTTTTTAAAACACTTTAATTTTTGGATCTCCACAGGCTGAATCTCAAGATATTTTAATAGAAAAAAGCACTGTTTCAAACTGTCTTCCAGTTAACACACACACACACACACACACACACACACACACACACACACACACACACACACACAGAATATAATTGTGAATGTTAAAATAAGAAACAGCTGTTAAAGCAACTGGCAGACACTTAAGTAAATGAAGATTAACAGAACATTTAACACTTCATGCTAATTTTCTGTATCTGTCTATATTCTTAATTTTAAGTCATTAGTGAACGTTTTGTAATGAAGGTTTCTACCACAAGCAAAACAAAACGAAACAATACCGAAACCAAAAATGGTATGAAAGTTGTTAAGACTACACTGGTATTTTTAGGTAGAAATTACTTCTTCATATTATCAAGAACATTTCTATATCCTCTAGCTCTATCTTCCTTATTATTAAATGTATACCCCTCTTCTTGACACCAATAATTTCAGAACCTGCATCAAGTACACATTAGAGGTTTATTAGAGTGGTTGTGTTCGAATAAAAGTGAAATTTCTCTTGTGATGGCTCACACCTGTAATCTTAGCAAGTCAGGAGGTTGAGATCTGAAGATAGTGCTTCAAAGCCATCCTGGGCAGAAAAGGCAGACTCTTCTGCTGACCAGCAAAGCTGTAAGTGGAGCTATGTACAGCTTGAGCTGCTCAAGTAGTAGATAACCAACCTTGAACAGAAAAAAGCCAAGGAAAAACAGAAGGCCCTGAGTTCAAGCCTCAGTACAGGCACCAAACAAGAAGTGAATTATTTAAGCATTAATATTAGTTACATTCACATTTATATTTGTATAGACATGTATAAATGAGCATCTTAAAAAAAACCTGTTACATTTCGTAGATTCCACTCATCTTCACACATATTTTCTCTATCCATTTGTAAGGCTCTAAGCCTAAATTTCCTGTATATTATAATTGTGTTTCTAAATTTGTGAAAGTAAAAGATGAAATTGTAGAGCAAAATTGAACACTTTGCCTTTCAGGGGCCTAATTCCAGTCCTATTGTTCCATGTATTTTATTTTAGAAGTTACTAAATGTCCTGTTTTTTCCTGTCTTGTTCACTGGGCAAACAGGGGTAGATGGTCCCCCTCCCTAGATAGGAGACGACCTCCTAGCCCCAGGATTCAAATCCAGCACGCATCTCCGGAGAATGACAGGTACTAGTCACCTCCTTATGGACAAGTGGCTTCTAGAGGCTCATAGGACACCAAGTGAAGGATGTTTGAAAGGAACGATGGTTAAGACATGCTTTCTTCCAGAAACAAGAGTGAAATATGGAGCTCTACCAGTAATTCCACCTCTTTTAAAGCACCTCAGAATATTTACTAAAAGGCGAGCAGCATAGGAAGTGGTGTCATTTAAGATCAATAAAGTCAAGATCAGTGAAAAGTTCTCTTCTCGGAAGCATTCATTACAGTGTTTTGAATTTCCAGAAAGGTATTTATCCATAGATTCTTGATTATATTAGATTACACGAAAATTCTCAGGTGCTTTAAAGTGTATTAAAGTCTGCCAGAGCAGACTGATTACATCTGAGAGCTTAATCTCAGTTACCTTTGCTGCTGTGTGAGTCTGTTTTCAAGATACCATTTAGGCTTTGGGGTTAAAAATGGTATTAATGCAGAGTACTTGATTCTCATATACTTTACGTATATTGTGTTTTTAAACCAAATGTTGTCATCTAGGGACATTCTGCAAGGTAGGTTGTAGAGAACAGTCAGTGCTTTGAATATATTTTATACAAGCTCTAAGAAGTGTCACAACATCTATGCTCCAGGGCTATAATATTCTTAGTTTTCAGTCATTTAATTCTCCCATTTTATTATTTTTTCATACATAGTCCTTACAGTATTTTTTCTGTGTGGTAACAAAAAGTTTGGGGCATCAGAGATCCTTTTCGTCAGCAGAAATGCCATCAAACAGTGGTTGTTGGTGACTTACACCTGTAATCTTAGCTACTTCAGAGACTGAGATCTGAGGATTGTAGTCCCAAGCCAGCATGGACAGAAAAATCTGAGAGATTCCTATCTCCAATAAATCAGCAAAAAGCCAGAAGTGTAAGCGTGGCTCAAGTGGTAGAGCATCAGCTTTGAGCATAAAAGCCAAGTGAGAGAGCAAAGGCCTGAGTTCAAACTCTAGTACACACACACACACACACACACACACACACACACACACACACACACACACACACACACACACACACACACACACACACACACACATTCTATCAGAGACTGGTAACATTTATTAAATAAGTAGATGCAGTATCTGAACAACCAGATACCTGATAACTCCTTGGATAAGCATGAAGGCTCTTTTTTTGCTTGTTTCCTTTGCACCAGTCCTGAACAGGGCCTATGCACTGTTCCTGAGTTTATTTGCTCAAGACTAGCACTTGACCACTTGAGCCATAATTCCGCTTCTGTTTTTCCTTTTTTTTTTTTTTTTTTGGTGGTTAATTGGAAATAAAAGTTTCACAGTCTTTCCTACTCAGGCTAGCTTTGAACCTTGATCCTCAGATCTTAGTCTTCTGAGTAGCTAGGAATATAGGCATGAGACACCAGTACTTGGCCAGCTCTTTGTTCTCGACAGTAGTTGTAGCCTGGTAAAGAGTGATATAATTTATTTTCTCTTTTTACATAATTAGAATATCTCCAGAATTTCTACTTGATAGAAAAACTAGACTTCATAATTAAGAAAAATTAATGTCATTTACCAATATTGGGAAAGACAACAAACTTCAAGATTTTGAGCATATTTTAATTCATATTAATCATTTAATATAACATGCATTTGGAATTCAACATTCCTTAATTCCTTCTGCTACAAAATTAATAATAGTGTAAGATTTCTAGGATTAGAAGAATTAGTGAAATCTCCAGTCTAAAATTTATTAACAGGGATAAAGTCATTTCAAATAAGAATAGAACATCACTGTGGAAGTTAAATAATAATGTAAGTCTACATTGCTACTAATGTTTACAGTAAGGATCTATTGTGTCCCTACTGTGTACAGTGAACAATGGCTAATTAAAATTCTGATTTAGTATAACAAGGTCTTGATGAAGGAACTTAGAAGTTCTTTTAGGAAAGGTAATTCTGAGAAGTTTTGAATTTATTCTGAAACAAAACAAGTATTACACAATTAAATAAAATAGTCTTTGTAATGAATGTAAACACAGGTTTATCTGAGCTTTCATTGAACAATATAGAAATTGATAATAGTTTCAGTTCTTAGTATACGTAAGATGTCATTAGCTTCACCTGATGGTATATGGTATATGAATTAATTATATTGTTAATTATAAATATATATTATTAATAAGTTCTATGCTGATTATTAACTAGAAATACATTCTAATATGCACATATGTATTCTAGGTGATTTATGTGGTAGGTAATAATCAGCATAATATATATTTCATGTATTTACTAAATACAAAATATTGTATATAGTTTTTATAATGACTTATTTATAAATAAATCCTACATTAAACCAGAAAATAATAAATCTTAAATAGCTTGAAACTACAATTTCATTGTTGTAGAGAATAGAAAATAATAGACAATCAGCTTTCATTCATCAGCAAGAATAAAAGATGCCATCAAAATGAGAAATTATTAACTAATGGTGAATTTGGAAGTAGCCATGTCACTCACTTGACAAAGCATAGTGAACACAAGCACTGTACCTGTTACTAGCTCTACTTCTCACTCAGAAATCCCTACTATTCTAAGTGAGATAGCATCAGGGTAGGTAGAGTGAATATTTATTAGGACTTTGGAACAGGGGCTCCCTTTGTCCCAGGACACTGGCAGTGAGAAAAACGCAGTGTGGTTATATTTGTGATAGTGTGTGTGTGTGTGTGTGTGTGTGTGTGTGTGTGTGTGTGTGGTAGTGGGGGTCCTGTGGCTTGAACTTGGGGCCTGAGTGCTGTCCCTGAGCTTTTCCCTTTTTTTATTTATTATTTTTTTGCTGGTTGTGGGAGGCCTGAACTCTGGGCCTGCACGCTGTCCCTCAGCTCTTCAGCTAAAGGCTAGCAATCTACCACTTGAGACACAGCAGCACTTCTGGCTTTTTCTGCTTATGTGGCGCCGAGGAATCGAACCTAGGGCCTCATGCATGCAAGGCAAGCACTCTACCACTGAGCCACCTTCCTAGCCCCTGTCCCTAAGCTTTTATTGGTCAAGGCTAGAGATCTACACTTGAGCCACAGTTCTACTTCCAGCTTTATTGGTAGTTATTTGGAGATAGGTCTCACAGGTTTGCTGCCTGGGCTGGCTTTGAACTATATCCACAGATCTCAGCATCCTGATTCACTAGGATTAGGATTACAGGCTTGAGCCACCTTAGCCTGGCTTGTCATTAGCATTCTTGACAATATTGATTTTATTGTTTTACAAAGTATCAAATTACATAGGTTTGTATACAAGAATAATATTTTGGAAACTATTTTTAAACAATAATAAAAATACACTAATTGGTCAGATGCTGGTGGCTTGTGCCTATAATCTTTGTTACTCAGGAGGCTGAGATCTGAGGGTGTGGTTTGAAGCCAAACCAGGCAGGAAAGTCCATGAGACTCTTATCTTCAATTAACTACCAAAAGGCCAAAGTGGAGTTGTGGCACAAGTGCTAGAATGCTGGCCCTCAGCATAGTAGCTCACAGGGAGTACCCAGGCCCTGAGTTTAATCCTCAGTACCAGCACACACACAAAAATACAGTAATTGAAGAGAATATTTAATCAAAGTACATTATATGCATGGATGGAAATATTTCAATGAAGCCTCTTGTATAATTAATATTTGCTAAGGAAAAAGAGAAAAAGTATTTGGTACTAGCTCCCTAGGGGAATAATTCTAATCTTCAAAGTGTGAAAGTTTCTTGCAGTTTTGTTACTAAATACATCAGGGCTTCTTAACATCATCATGGCATTAATAAAGTATATCTGTGTAAGTGGAATTATTTTAATACATAAAATCACTTTTATGAACTCGCATCTCTATATATTTCTTGGGATCTTCATAAAGTGTAGATCCACTTATAACCTGAAATTTATCAAATGACTAAATCAACCAATGGCTAAAACATTAACCAAATATTTTCTAAATGGCTATTCTGAATAGCTATCCACAAAACAGTACATACAACTTTGAACTATCAAGCTTCTGAATTTGGTGGCCAGGATGTAGGCATTCATCTAGGTATGAAATGGTAATGTATGTTACTCTTATGATTATCATTACCTAGTTCAACTTGGAACTTTTTTTTTTTTTTGTCAGTCATGGGGCTTGAACTCTGGGCTTGGGCGCTGCCTCTGAGCACTTCAGCTCAAGGCGAGCACTCTACCACTTGAGCCACAGCACCACTTCCAGTTTTCTAGTAGTTTAATGTAGATTGGAGTCTCACGGACTTTCCTGCCTGGGCTGGCTTTGAACTGCGATCCTCAGATCTCAGCCTCCTGTGTAGCTTGGCGTGAGCCACCAGCGCCCGGCTTGGAGCTATTTTTTAAGTGAAGCATTCTTATTAGTGATTTTGAATTTATTATTATTATTATTTTTTACTATTTAGCTCTTTTTAAAAAAATTTTAAATTTTATTGTAAAAGTGATGTACTGAGAGGCTAGAGTTACATAAGTCAGGTAATAAATGAATTTCCTTTAGAACAGTGTCACTTCCTCCCTCATCCTCAACCAGTTTTACCTCTTGACTTCCTTCCCCGACTAAGTTGTATAGTTCATTTCCAACATAGTGTCTAGTGAGGATCACTGCTGAATTGGTTCACCCTTTGTCCCACTGTTTCTGTGCTTCCCCTTCCCATCCCCAAATCAGATAAACTTACGTGCAAGACAGAGTACAGAAATCAAAAATAGGGCCAGAAGAGAATAAACCTAAGAAAAAAGGAAAGAAATAAAAAGAACCACAAACAGTGCAATTAAAAATCTCTTCCTTCCATTTCTTCAAGTTCATTTCAATAAGCATCATTTTATATGACCAATGCACATAACTATTGAGCCCTTGTGATCTTCTCCTAAGACTATCCTCCTTCGTTCTCACTGTGTGAATGTTTAGACTGATGTTAAATTTATCATGTCCAAGTGTAATTATTTGTTTTGTGCTAACCATCTGGTTTACTTGCAGATTTATAGGCAC